AAAAAAAAAAAAAAAGGGGGGGGCCAAAGAGGGGGACATGCAATGTGTGTGTATGTTTGTGTGTGTGTACACACAAGAAATAAGTGAAAGATTGCCTCTAAAATCTCTAATGGGCGTGGCCTTCTGGGGGCGTGGCCACAGGGGAGGCCCGGTCGCCTTGAGGGCACCGCCCAGAGATGGGCTTAAGGCCCAGCCAAGGAGGGTGGTGGGTGTGGCATAACCGCAGGGGCGGGGTTGGAGGCGGGGCTACCGAGGCTCTGGCTCTCATTGGACACGCAGCGGCGCCGGGAGCCGTCCAGGACCAGCGGGGGCTCACAGGTGCAGTGGTAAGAGCCCACCGTGTTGATGCAGCGGCCGCCCTCGCAAGCTGGCTCCTCGTCTGCGCACTCGTCATTGTCTAGGGAAGCAATGGAGGAAGGGGATTGTTAAGTGGCAGCCCTCCTCTCCTTCCCATTTCTCTTCCCTAGTCCCTTGACAGTATGATGGATAGAGTCTAGACTCCAAGAAGGCCTTCCCGCTGTGACTGGACCCAGCACAGGGGTGGGTGGGGAGCTGTAGGACCCTCACCAACACACTCCAGCCGCTGTGCGTGGTAGTAGTAACCGTTGCTACAGTAACACGAGTAGCCTGGAGCGGTGTTCACACACACCCCACTCTTGCACACCTGGTCCCGGAAGAGCTGGCATTCGTCCACATCTGCAGGAAGGGGGGAGAGACAATGGAGCCCAGCCAGGGCAGGGGGGAGGCAGGCTGGATGAAGGGAGGGTGTGACCGCTGGGGAGGATGCAGAGTCTCAGGAGACATAGGGGCAAAGAAAATAAATTCATTAAAATTAAAAATGAAGACAGATCAAGAAATCCAGAGAGAGAAAGAAAAGAAAATAGGAAGAGACAGAGACAGAGAAACGGCCAAGGGTGGGTCAGGGTATGGAGGGTGGGTGAGGGCTAAAGTCTGGTCTCACCTCGCCAAAGGCTCAGGTCTCCACTGGACGCCAGGTAGCCACGACCGTGGGGACACAGTGACTGGTACTCAGCTACACAAAGAGACAAGGCTAAGCCTAGACCCCTGCGCTTGCTGCGTGTGTGTGTGTGTGTGTGTGTGTGTTGGTACTGGGGCTTGAACTAAGGACCTTGTGCTCTTGTTTGGCTTTTCCCCATTACAATTTGAGCTACACATGACTTCTGGCTTTTTCCCTCCCAGTTCTGGAGCTTGAACTCAGAGCCTGGGCACTGTCCCTGAACTTCTTTATGTTCAAGGCTAGTGCACTACCACTTCCAGCTTTTTCTGCATATATGGTACTGAGGAATCGAATCTGGGGCTTCATGCCTGCTAGGCAAGCACTCTACCATTGAGCCACATTCCCAGCCTCTCACAGACATTTCTGCCTGGGCTGGCTTTGAACTTTGATCCTCAGGTCTCAGCCTCTTGAGTAGCTAGGATTACAGGCGTGAGCACCAGAGTCTGGCTTCTCTATGTGCACCTGTGACCTCTTCCTCAGTTCCCATGGTCCTCTAATTCTATCCAAACCCTCACCCTGTGCCCACCTGTCTCAGTGCCTGGGCACTGCTGGATGCGACATCCGCTGCCCCAGCCTTCGCCCACGGTACAGCAGCACTCCTGCCACGTCACGTTCCGTGCCAGGATGTTGTCACATGCATCTGGGGCTGCCGTGTCAAAGTAGCACTCCCGTCGCTCGCTGCCCACAGGCCCCTGTCTAGGTGGGCTGGGCCGGCGGGGTGCGGATGGAGGGGGTGGCCTGGCTGGCAGACTGGGACTGGCAGGTGCCTGGGGTTGTGAGCCTGGAAAGGTGCCTAGAGAGGAAAAAAACAGGGGGGAGGGAGTTAGGTCAGTGTGTGTGGAACGCTTAACCCTTCATGTCACAGAGGAGGAAGCCGAGGCCCCGAGCATGGCACCAGTCATCAGTGGCACAAGAACACTTCATACTTCTTAATCTGTCATGATCTTTTTGCCGTCTTCTAATTTATGCCTTGTGCACACGTGTGTGTGTGTGTGTGTGTGTGTGTGTGTATGTGTGTGTGTGTTAGTACTGAGGCTTGAATCCCAGGCCTCACTTTTTTTATTTTTTGGGGGTCAATCATGGGGCTTGAACTCTGGGCCTGGGCACTGTCCTGGTGCTCTTCAGGTCAAGGCTAGCACTCTATCACTTGAGCCACAGCACCACTTCTGGTTTTCTGGTGGTTCATTCGAGGTAAGAGTCTCACGGACTTTCCTGCCCGGGCTGGCTTTGAATGGTGATCCTCAGATTTCAGCCTCCTGAGTAGCTAGGATTACAGGCGTGAGCCACCACTGCCCAGTGGCCTCACACTCTTATTTAGTTATTTCTCTCAAGGCTGGCAATCTATCACTTAATCCATACTTCTACTCTGGCTTTTTTGCTAATGAAATTAAGATCAGAGTCACTTAGATTTGTCTGGGTGAGTTGACCTTGATTCTCAGACCTCCACCTCCCCAACTAGCTAAGATGACTGTCCCCCATCTCTTTTGTTGTTATTTGAGACATGATCTCACTTTGGAGCTCAGTCTGGTCTGGCACTTTCCATCTCACTGCCTCAGTTTCTCTGGTGTTGGGATTACAAGCTTAGCTTTCTGTTAGACTTTGAGGCCTTAAGGACAGAGATTGGGAACATTACTGAGACCCCAGTGGCTACAATAAAGTCTCAACACATTAAACACTCTGTGAACACCTCCTGAATGCAGTAATTTGGCAGCATCTAGGCCAGGATGTAGATCTCCTGAGAGAGTCCTAATATCCATGGCAACCCACTCGGTCAGAACTTTTGTTGTTGTTGTTGTTGCTGTTGAAAACAATAGCACTAACTGGTGGCAGCTGTCCATATCAGGGCTGGTCAGGCCACAGTGCTTTCCTACAGGGTCAGCAGCCACCAGCTAAACAAATAAACAAACCATTCTCACCAGCAGAGGTCCGTGGGGGGACACAGCGTCCAGTCATGGGGTCAAACTCCTCAGGACTGCTAGGGCAGACACACAGGAAGGAGCCTTCGACATTCTCACACAAGGCAGTTCCACACACACCCTGCAGTGTTGCACACTCGTTCACATCTGTAAGCAGGAGATAGGAACACACATCTGTAATTCCCTGAACTCTGAAAATCTGTGCTTTCTACTGTAATGAAAAAAAAATTTTGTCTGGTACTAGAAATTGATGGAACACTCAGGACTTCATATTTGCTAGGCAGGCACTTCACAGTTGGGCCAGGCCCCCAGCATGCTTAACCAGCGAGTGGAAGTATGGGTCAAGTGGTAGAGCACTAGCCTTGAGCAAAAAATAAAAAGGTCAGGGACAGCACCTATATCTGAGTTCAAGCCCCAGGACCAACACACACACACACACACACCAGAAAAATAGTGGCTCAATGGTAGTATCTGGGGGCTAGGAAGATGGCTCAGTGGTAGAGTGCTAGCCTTGAGCTGAAGAGCTGAGGGACAGCACCCAGGCCGAGTTCAGGCCCCACGACCGGACCAAAAAAAAAGCAGAAAAAGTCAGAAGTGGCGCTGTGGCTCAAGTGGTAGAGCCCTAGCCTTGAGCTGAAGAACTGAGGGACAGTGCCCAGGCCCAGAGTTCAGGCCCTATGGATGACCAAAAAAAAAAAAAGTAGTATCTAGCAAAACACCAAAGGCTCAGAGTTCAAATCCCAGTACTGCCAAAAAGAATCATGCACTTTATATATGAAATGGACTTCAAATAAAAATACCCACAAAACATACTGAATTTTAGTTAATGATATGCATAAATACTGAAGAATTCAAGGGATTTATGTACCAAGGCCCACAGTCTAATTATAGAATCTACCCCCAAAATTATACAGATTCATGGACAGACATGAAAGAAAGCAGGTTAGAATCAGCCAGGTGCTAGTGACTCATATCTTTAATCCTAGCTATTCAGGAGGCTGAGATCTAAGGATTGTAGTTCAAAGCCAGCCTGGGCAGGAGAGTCTGGGAGATTCTCATCTCCAATTAAGCACTAAAAAGTCCTAAGTGGAGGTGTGACTCAAGTAGTAGAGTGCCAACCTTGAGTAAAAAGGCTCAGGTACAGCATCCAGGCCCTGAGTTCAAGAACCAAGACCAACACACACACACACACACACACACGAACTGACAAGCTAGTTCTTCCCTACCCTCCGGCCCCAGCCACCCCCAGGAGCCCCGTACCCACGCAGTGACGCCCGTCCCTTGCCCCCTCGTATCCCTGGTCGCAGAGGCACTGGAAAGAACCAGGTAGGTTCTGGCACACTGCATGAGCACCGCAGAAGGACCGGTTCCGGCATTCGTCCACATCTGCAACCATCAAAGAAATCAGGACACCTCTGGAACTTCCACCTCAACACCCCCCCCCACATCTCACTCACTGCATGACGAACACCCACCCTGGCAGCCGCCGCCCGGGGTGGGCTGATAGCCAGGGTCACAGGCTGGTACGCAGCGGTAGGAGCCAGGGGTGTTCTCGCAACGCTGAGCTCCACAAATAGCAGAGCCATATTCCTGGCATTCGTCCACATCTTCAAGAGAAAGAGAAAGAGAAGAGGGAAGTGAGCTCAAGGGCGGGATGGATGGGCTCTGAATGCCACCTCCACGTCCCACAATTGAGAAGTTGTTGTGAATCTGATATTCAAGGAATCTGAGCTTCCAGAGATGAGTTAGTGCCCAGAACACTGTCATTTCTCAAATAGCACAATCAGAATGGACCTCAGGCCTTTGTATTTGCTCTTCTCTCTGTCAGGTATACCCGCCATTCAGCAATCTGCCTTGCTTCCTCTCTCATGTCAATCTGCCTTGCTTCAAGCTCCATGACCAACCAAAAAATAAAAGATAAAAATAAAGACATAAAACAGTGCCTTACCTATACTATGGACCCCATAATATTCATTATGAATCCTGAACTAATTTACATATTGCCTATCTCCTACATATTAGATCCATGAGAACAGAGATCTTTCTTTCTTTCTTTCTTTCTCTTTCTTTTGTCTTGTCAGTTGTGGGACCTGAACTCTGGGCCTGGCCGCTGTTCCTCAGCTCTTCATCTCAAGGCTAGCACTCTACCACTTGAGCCACAGTGCCACTTCTGACTTTTTCTGCTTATGTGGTGCTGAGGAATCAAACCCATGGCCTCATGTATGCAAGGCAAGCACTCTACCACTGAGCCACCTTCCCAGCCCAGAACAAAGATTTTCATCTGACTCTTTTCTTGTTTGTGGTCTGAGTGTCTGGCACATACTATACTAGCTGCTTAATAAGTTCTTTGGGAATTAATGCATGAGATCTAGTGACACTAATTGAGGTTTAGCAAGCAGAGAGCCCAAGGCAACTCACAAGCATTTTTTGTTTGTTGGTTGTAGGGATTGAACTCTGAGCCTGGGTGCTGGCCCTTCAGCTCAAGGCAAGTGCTCTACCACTTAAGCCACAGCACCACTTCTGGTTTTCTGGTAGTTAATTGGAGATAAGAGTCTCACAAACTTTCCTGCCCAGCCTGGCTTTGAACCGCAATCCTCAGATCTCAGTCTCCTGAGTAGGAGTACAGCTGTGCGCCACCAATGCCTGGCCCACAAGCCCTGCAGCCTCCTGCCTCGGTTAGCTCTGTGCTAGGTGATTCTTGGCTTGTCCAGGTGACTGGGAAGTGTCCTCCCCAAGCCTGTGCCTCCATGATAGAATGCAAGGACACGGAGGACGGGGAAAGGTAAGAGTTAGGGGAAGAGTGCCTTCCTCCCGGACCATATGACAGGGTGTCCCTTTTCGTCACCCAGGAAGCAGATTGGAGTGGTGGGTCTGTCTCACCATCACAAGTGCCCTCCGGGCCAGCGTGATAGCCAGGATCGCAATCCTGGACACAGCGGTAAGAGCCAGGGGAGTTCTCACAGCGCTGGGACCCGCAGAGGGCTGAGCCCTGTTCACGACACTCGTCAATGTCTGAGGAGGGAGGCATGAAGGTCAGATGGGGTAAGCGGGGGAAGGTCAGGTGAGTTGGAGGGGATAGACAAATTAGAGGGGAAGTAGAGAAGAGATAGGGTCACCTGGCCTGCCCACTAGACCTAAGCCCCGCCCATAACCACATAGCCCCGCCCCATGATGACATGGCCCCCCCATATACCTGTAGCTCCACCCACAAGTCCCAACAAGTGCCAAAGCCTTTCCCACAAAGGTGGCAGGGGGAGCTGGGAGGGGATGTCGAAGCTGGGAGGGGAGGGAGGAAGAGTTTGGGGGCACGATCAGATCAGGGGCCCCCTCACCCAGGCAAGAGGCCAGGTCTGGGCCTGTACGGTGTCCCGGAGGGCAGATGCACTCGAAGGAGCCATCGGTGTTGGTACAGACACCGCTCTGGCAAAGGTCCTCTTCGCTGCACTCGTCCACATCTGCAGAGTATCCCAAACCGGAGTTCGCCTCCTTCCTCCATTAACATCCCAAGCCACACACCCCTCCCCTGCCCTTTTCCCAGCCACTCCTGGGCCCTTACAGCCTTACCTCACCTGGCAGAGGCCCCACCCCTTTCTGCAAACCCCGCCCCCAAAGGTTTAGGGACGATCCTTTCCAACCACTATCCAGACTCGTCCTCCTCCCCCAGTCGGGGTTCCCCTGCTTCACCCTGAAATCACTTCCCGGAAGTCCCACCTCCCTTATTGCAAGGAGACACCCCTCCCCTCCCCAATTATGTAGAGACCCTATTCGACCCTCTTCCACTTTTTCAGGGTACCCACCAAGGCAAGATGCTCCGCGAGGTCCGGGCCGGTAACCAGGGGCACAAGTGCAGGCAAAGGAGCCGTCAGTATTGAGGCACTCGCCGTGGGGGAAGCAGAAGTCACCTTCCAGACACTCATTTATGTCTAGGGTACACCAGAGAGAGAGAGAGAGAGAAGCACGCCCACTAGACACAAGCCCCGCCCACAGCGGGCTAGGGTACGCCAGAGAGAGGCACGCCCACTAGACACAAGCCCCGCCCATACTGATGTAAGCCCGCCTCCACCATATATGGCCACACCCACAACAGTTGTGTCTCCGCCCTGAAGTCCCACCTAAGTGCCCATCCCTCTCACAGCTTCTCACACTTCTCCAACGGGCTTTCTCATTCGGGAGCCCTGGCCCTAACTCAGGCCCGGGGTCGCTCCCCTGCTCACCAGCACAGGGTCCAGGTCGACCCGATGGCGCCCGGTAACCCGGTGCACAACTGCAGCGGAACGAGCCTTCGGTGTTGGTGCAATGGCCGTGGAGACCGCAGGGGGCTCCTGAACTACACTCATCCACATCTATGGGGGTCAAATGACACAATCAAGTTTCATGTTCACAGGTCAGGGAGTCAGGAGTCACCTTTAGATTCATGAACCAGGGCTGGGAAGGTGGCTCAGTGGTAGAGCGCTTGCCTTGCATGCATGAGGCCCTGGGTTCGATTCCTCAGTACCACATAAGCAAAAAAAAAGGAAAAAGAAAAAAGCTGAAGGTGGCACCGTGGCTCAAGCGGTAGAGCGCTAACCTTGAGCTGAAGAGCTGAGGGACATCGCCCAGGCCCAGAGTTCAGGCCCTATGACAGGACCCCCCCAAAAAAAATAGGTTCATGGACCAGGAGGGCACCAGTGAGCTTAGGCCTGTAATCTTAACTACTCAGAAGGCTGAAATCTGAGGATCCTGGTTCAAACCAGCCCCAGCAGGAAAGTCTGTGAAGACTTTTATCTCTAATTAACCAGCCAAAAGCGAAAATTGTGTGACTCAAGTGGTAGAGTACCAGCCTTGAGTGGAAAAAGCTAAGGGACAGAGCCGAAGCCCTGAGTATAAGCCCCAATATTGGCACAAAGATTGAAGTAGGTAGATTGATAGGTGGATAGATTCAAAATAAATAGATTCAAGATAGATAAAATAGACAGCGCAGGTGGCTCAGGCCTGTAATCCTAGCTATTCAGGAGGCTGAGATCTGAGGATCAAAGTTCAAAGCCAGCCCAGGCAAGAAAGTCCGTGAGACTCATCTCCAATTAACCACCAGCAAACCAGAAGTGGCACTGTGGCTCAAGTAATAGAGTGTTAGCCTTGAGCTGAAGAGCTGAGGGACAGCGCCAGGCCCAGTTCAAGCCCCACCACTGACCAAAGAAGAAAGATAAGAGAGACTTAAGACAGGTTCAAGATAGATAATAGAGGACAGATTCCAGATAGAAAAGATTCAAGATAGATAGATTGGTTGATGGATTGATCCCAGGATAGGTTCAGGGATTGTGGTCTGGTCAGGTAAAGAGTCACAGCTGGGAATTGTTGTCCAGGTAAGAGGACTAAGGTCCAGGTTAGGTTAGGAGTCAGGTCAAGCTTGTGGTCAGTCTGGGGGTCATGGTCTTGGGTCAGGGGTCATGGTCTTACCAGTGCATCTGCCACGATGCAGATGATGGCCAGCAGGGCAGGCCCTGCACTGGAAGGAGCCAGGGGAGTTTACACACTCCTGCCCAGGACAGGCCAGGTGGTTCTCACACTCATCCACATCTGAGGAGCAGGGGAGAGGGTGCCTTGAAGAAGCAACCTGACAAGCCCTCCCCCATCCACACTCCTCCCTCCCTCCCCGGCCTCACCCTTGCACTCCGAGCCAGCAGCGTTAGGTTGGAAACCAGTGGGGCAGATGCACTGGAAACTGCCTTCTGTGTTCTCACACCGCCCATAGGCACAGGGCGAAGGGCTCCGGGCACATTCATCCACATCTGGGTCAGAGGGGAACCAGTCAAACTGTGAAAGGGATCTAGACACCTCCCCACAGTCAGCTCCATCTACTTTTTCAGCCTTGAGTCAGCCTCCCAGGAGGCTGTGTGTGTGTGTGTGTGTGTGTGTGTGTGTGTGTGGTGTATGTGGTGTGTGTGTACTAGAGCCTGAACTCAGGGTCTTTTCACTTAAGCTATACCTCCTGTTTTGGCTTTTTACTGGTTAGTTGAGATGTAAGCCTCAGGGACTTTCCTGTCTGGGCTGGCTTTGAATGGGGTTCTTCAGATCTCAACCTCTTGAGTAGCTAGGATGAGCCATTGATGCCTGATGAAACCATTCTTTGCCCATGTCATAGGCTCTCGGCCTACCCTACCTCATCCAGATCCCTTTCCCTGTGTCTTTGTTAGTGACACACTCCCACCTTCTCAGTATCCCATCCCTCTGCCCCTGGCCTTGGTCTCTGAGCCCAATTAGGCTGCTCTGTCCCACAGTAATATGGCTCTCACAGCAAGCAGTGGTGCTGCAGGACCCAGCACCCTCACCTTGGCAAGGAGCCCCTGGTCCTCGGGAGCGGAAGCCAGCAGGGCAGGCACAGTGGAAGGAGCCAGCCGTGTTGTCACAGCGGCCTGGCCCGCAGGGTGGGGGCTCCTGCGCACACTCATCCACATCCTCTTCACATGTTGAACCCCGGAAGCCAGCCGGGCAAACACAGCGGAAAGAGCCAGGCAGGTTCTCACAGACCCCACGGCCACAGAGGCCCGGGCTCTGGGTGCATTCATCCACATCTGTGGGGTGGAGAGGTGGGGGCAAGAGGACCGTAGGATCACTTGCTCCTTTATTCCCTGAGGCTCCACCTGGCTTCCCTGACCATCAACTTGACCTTCCACCCTCCATCATACCCTCTCCCTGCCTGTCCCTGTGGTTCTAATTCTCCATCCTCGCATTCAGCCTTTCTTGCATCCTATTAATTGGCCTCTCCTGCCTCGGGTCACTCTATAAAGGCCCTAGATCTGGTTCCAGGACCTAGGGTTTCCACCAAGCCAATTTCACTTTTCTCCATGATCCACTCACCAACCCTCATCCCTGCTAGAGGCTCCCCCTTCCTCTTTGCCCACTCTCCCTTCAGCCCCTCACCCTGGCAGCTGGCTCCATGAGGTGCAGCCTGGTACCCGGCGGGACACACACACAGGAAGCTGCCGGGTGTGTTCTCACAGCGCCCGCGGTCGCAGGGTGGCGGTACGCGGCGGCACTCGTCCACATCTATAGGCAGAACAGAACTGGGGTGGCTGGGGAGCGGGCAGAGAGTCCCGGGAGAGACTGGAGGGGGCGTGGCCACCGTGGGTGTGGCCACCGTGCTGATATCAGAGTGGGGGCGGAGTCTGCGAGCGTGGTCCTGGTCCTGGGGTGGATTCAATGGGCGGAACCCAAGTGGGGGCGGAGCCTGGGGGCGGAGCCCGAAAGTGGGAAGGCCTAAAGGAAGGGATTGAGCCAGGAGGCCAGACAAGGGCGGCTGTCCTGGCTAGGACCAGAGGAAGACCGTGAGGGGGGGCAATTCGAGAAAGAGATGGAAGGGACCTCTGAGCACAAGAAAGGGAAAGCAGGAGCAGGGATAGAAAAAGAAAGGCAGTTTGAGATGGGGAATCTGGTGCGAGAGGGATGCAATCAGGGCAATCGGGATGGTTTGTAGGACAGAGGCGGGGCCTGGGGACGGAGCTAGTCAGGGATGGGGAAGAGGAGGGGATAACGGAAGAGTCAAGCCAGGGCCTGGTTTGGAAGAAAGCTAGGCAACAGTAGAGGCCAACCGCCAGGAAAAGAAGGGCCAGATTGGGAAGAGGGGGCAGGGCAGGAGCCAAAAAGAGGTCTGGAGCTGATCTAAAGGAGTGGGCTGGGGCTGGTGAGACCGGGCAGTACTAGGGGCTGGGCCCTTTGGGGAAAGAAAGGAAGGTCACTGCGACTCTGGAGTGAGAGCAGAGGCCAGAGCCAGGCAATGGTGGGACCTGGAGCCAGGCTGATAAGTGTCTCACCCAGGCACTCCGTAGCCCTCGGGCTGGCTCGGAAACCCGGGCCGCACACACAGCGGAAGCTTCCTGGTGTGTTCTCGCAGCGCCCCGGAGCACAAGGAGAGGGTACACGGCGACATTCATCTAAGTCTGAGTGAATGGAAGGGGAGGGTCACCAGGTGATGGGCAGGGCCCCACCCTATCCCAGCACCCACGCCCCGCCCACCTCCTCAGTCCAGCTCACCGACACAGCGGGTACCCTGGGGGCTCAACCGGAAACCCGAGTCGCAGGCACAAGTGTGACCACCAGGTCGGGATATACATCGGCCTGGGCCACACACCTGAGGGTTGCGCTGACACACACCAGAAGAAGGACCTGGGGAAACAGAAAGAGGTCCAGTCAGTGAAGTTCCTCCAATTCTGATCTCAATTCCCTCAAATTCTCCACCTAAAACACCTTTAGGGACCACTTCTCCCCAAGTCCAATCTTAGAGGAGAATCTTATTCTTCTTTATCTTGAAATACTTGCATTTGAGTTGTCAGAATCTGCCCACCATGGCTCTCTAGCTGGTGAATACTTCAGAGGTATCTCACTGAAACCTCATGACCATCCTCATTTTACAGCACAAGAAACAGTCTCAGAGGACTTAAAGGTCTCTTTCAACTAATAGAGAACTGAGACCAATTCTGGTGCCAGGACCCAATCTAATTACCATGCAACCCTCCACACATTCTTATCTCTTCCTACCTGACCCTTATCTGTATTTGATCTCCTCTAGTCTTCCCTCCAGAATCCCTGCCACCAACACACTCCATTCTCTACATCACCTGGCTCAGGAATTTCAGGGCCAGTCCAGGCAGGGATGCTGGGAAGAGGAAACTCAGGGCCAGGTCTGGACTCAGGTCTGGACTCAGGGTGGGGCTCAGGTCGAGGCTCAGGTCGAGGCTGAGGCCGAGGCTGAGGGCGAGGTTCTGGGCGATGAGTAGGCAGAAAGCCTGGTAAGGAAAAGGTATTAGGGAGTGGGGACTGAATTTGAAATAATGTCCCCCCACTTCCTAGAACCAGCTCACCTGTAGGTGGCCGAGAGGTGGCTGCGGGGGCACGTGGCTGACTGAGAGATACTCGAGGTGGTTCCTGAGCCAGGGGTCTGGTGTTGTATCGGAGGTCAGAGGCTGAGTAGTGGTAGCCAGGGCCAGCAGGGCAGATCTCACGAAAACCCTCTGGAAACAAGACAGGGAGAGAAAGAGGAAAGAAGCAGAGAACAGTGGACAGGAGGGCCTTGGCTGGGGGACAGGGCTTGGTTTGAGAGAGTATGCCAGGAGTTTTGCTTGGATGCAGGGACGGGGTGGTGTCCTGCAAGTCTTCGAGAGTAAAGATGAAACTACAAACAGTTTTTACCCATTTGGGATGATGGCAGGGACTGGGGGTAAGAATAGAATCTAGTTTGATAGCTATAAGGGTGAGTTGGGGGAACAGAACCTATTTGTGGTAGAACTTCTTAGGGAGTGCTCTAAGGGGGGGTGAAGGCGCCTAAACTGAAGGCTGTGTCTCCAGAATTGGGGCTCTGACTAAAGCTCTGAGACAGAATTCCATATCTCAGGAGCAGAGGGTTGAGGGGAGGAGAATGCACTGAGACAGACTAACTTTAACGTGGAGTGGTGCAGGGGTGGGTGTGGCTAAGGATGAAGGTGAAACCTCCAGCCAATCAAGAGGGCACTGGGGGCGTGGCCAAAGCTAGGACCATTGGAGGTGGGGCGGGGGGCTTGAGTGCTCTAAACCTCCTAGGAAGAAGCCTGTGTGGATCCTGGCAGCCTGGAGGCACTTACCCGAGCCGAAAGGTGGGCAGAGCTGGCAGCCTCGACCCCAGGCTTTGCCCACACGGCTACAGCAGCAGATCTGTTTGGTGATGTTACGCAGAATGGGCAGCGAGCAGCCGCCATCCCGAAGTACGCGGAAGCAGGGCCCCTTTGCCTCTGAGATCACGTGTTGGGCTGGGGGAAGGGGAGAGCATTGGCTTGGGGGGGGCAGGGTGGGGAGTAGGGGTAGGACTGCGAGATTGGGGAGGTAGAGGGATCACCCCAGGAAAAGTTTGGTGGGGGCAGAATTGGGGGGAACGTTTTAAGACAATGAAGGGCCCAGGATTGGTTTGGGATGTGGTCTGAGGTCAGAGCCGACTGGGGATCCAGCCCCTCTGCTGGCAGCTCACAGATGCAGCTGCTGCGGGATGAATCCAACAGGAAACCGTCGGGACACACGCACGTGTACCCGCCGCGCGTGTTGGCACATTCCCCGTGCTGGCAGCGCCCTCCGGTCGCACACTCGTCCACATCTGCGTGAATTGGGTAAAACTTCACCGTGGAAAGGGCCACGTGATTACTAGCCCTCCGACCCGAAAACCAAGCTCCACCTCACCTACACAGGATCCATTAACCCTCTCAAAGCCAGTGGGGCAAGGTCCATCGGCTCCACCCACTCTGTTTCCTGCAGAGAGAAGAGAGCGGTGGGCAGAGAGGAAATTAGTGCGTGCAGAACAAAGATGGGATGGTAGGGACTAAGAGGTGTGGAGTCTGTACACCCTCACTTGGGAGGCTCTTGAAGTTCATGGATATCAACAAGGCACAAAAGCAAGTTGGGAACCCAGGGGCCAAAGTCAGAAAATGGCTAGAGACCAACGCTGGTGGCTCACACCTGTCTGCCATCTTGGCTACTCAGGCAGGAAAGTCTGTGAGACTTTTCTTTCTTCTAATTTTTGCATTTTGTTGTTGTTGTTATGTGTTACCGAGGAACCCAACTCAGGGCCTCATGCATGCTAGGCAAGCACTGTACCACATTCCCAGCCCGTAAGACTCTAATAGCCAATTAACCACCGAAAAGCCAGAAGTGGACCTATGGCTCAAGTGGTAGGGCGTTGGCACTGAGTGAAAATGCTAAGTGGCTACACTCAGGACCTGAGTTCAAGCCCCAGCAGACACCCAAAGAAAATTGTAGCCATGAAAATTGTTGGCTCATGACTGTAATCCTAGCTACTTAAGAGGCTGAGATCTGAGGATCACAGTTCAAAGCCAGCCAAGCAGAAAAGTGCTGGTGAGACTCTTGTCTCCAGTTAACCACTCGAAAACCAGAAGTAGCACTATGGCTTAAATGGTAGAGTGCCCAGGCCTTTAGTTCAAGCCCCACAAAAGAAAATTGTAGGGCTGGGAAGGTGGCTCAGTGGTAGAGTGCTTGCCTTGCATGCCTGAGGCCCTGGGTTTGATTCCTCAGCACCACATAAGAAAAAAGCCGGAAGTGGCGCTGTGGCTCAAGTGGTAGAGTGCTAGCCTTGAGCTGAAGGACAGCGCCCGGCCCAGAGTTCAGGCACCATGACCAGACCCCCCCCCAAAAAAAAGAAAAAGAAAAAAAGAAAAGAAAATTGTAGATGTAGCTTAAAAATGATAAATTTCTAGTCCTAGCTAGAATTGGTGGTATGTCCTTGGGGGGGGGGAGGCAGCAGGAAAAGTTACTAGGGGGCTGGGAAGGTGGCTCAGTGGTAGAGTGCTTGCCTTGCATGCACTGGTCCTAGATTCGACTCCTCAGCACCATATAAGCAGAAAAAGCCACAAGTGGGGCTATGGCTCAAGTGGTAGAGCACTAGCCTTGAGCTGAAGAGCTGAGGGACAGCGCCCAGGCCCAGGGTTCAGGCTCCACGATTGACCCAAAAAAAAAAGTTACTGGGGCTCCCAGTACCTGGGGGCAGGGGGGGCGGGGAACAACCCTTGAGGCTTACCCAGGTGCTCCGAGCATGGCTGACAGTCGTGAACGCCCCAGGCCACGCCTTCCCCTCGACAACACACTTCCTGAGTTCGGAGCCCGGGCAGCGGTGATACACACTGTGGGGGATGCATTGGATGAGCGCGTCCCCACCTGACGGCACTCCCCGGGCTCCTTCCCAAGGGCCTCTTCTCACTTCGCCTCGGCGCAGCTCCCGAAAGCAGTAACCGAAGCCCGAGGCGTCCGAGTAGCCATCCTCGCGGGGGGCGCTCTGGGCCAACACGGTGTAGGGCGCAGCCGCCTCCGCCCGGGCCGCCGCCTCCGCCCTCGCCACGGCCTCGGGATCCGCCTCCTCCCAAGGGCCCGACACTCGCTCCACCTGGTGGACGACCACCGATGCCTCCTGCGGGTGCTCCACGTGCACGCTCACCATGGATGCCACGCCTAGGCAGAGAGGGCAAAGGGATGTCTATAAAGGGGGGGTGGGGTCACATGGGGGTGGGGGAGCGTGCTAGGACCGGGAGGAGAGGTACTGGAGAATGTCACCAAGTTGGAGGTCAGACAACAGGGACAAGGGACTGCGCCCCTCACCGTGCTCGTCGTCGCGGTGGTTGGCCAGGGGCATGGTGTACACGGAGCGGGTGATGCCGGGCATGGCGGGGGCTGGGGGCCGGGCTCCTGAAGCATGCAACTGGCAGAACTTGCCGGCGAAGTCCGGAGGACAGAGACAACGGTCAGGCTTCACGCACACCCCGCCGTTGTGACAGATCAAGGGACACAGAACTGTGGGTGGGGAGGAATCGAGGACATGCGAGATCGGCGCCCACACAGGGCAGGTTCCCCTCATGCCCACGCACCCCATGCTAAGTCAGCCTCCAGCGTGGCAAGTAGGCCGCCAAGCTACAGGGGAGGGGGGGTTAGGCAGAGGACATCTTCTGGTTTTTTGCTTGGACCGGATGCAGTGGTTCAGCCTTTCTTTGTGTGTGTGAGCTGGTCCTGAGGATTTAACTCGGGGCCTGGACGTTTGCTCAAGGCTAGCGCTCTACCACTTGAGCCACAGCACCACTTCCAGCCTTTTTCTGTGTATGTGATACTGAGGAATGGATTCCAGGGCTTCATGCAAGCTAGGTAATCACTCCTCACTAAGCCACATTCCCAGTTCCCTATAACTGACACCTGCTTTCGCCCATATTACAGCAATATCCACTTTCTGCAAGAACGTGTCCCGGCCCCGCCCACCTTCTAGACCCCGCCCACCAGCCTTGAATCCCCGCCCACTGCCCCAGCGCAGCCATTGATCATGGGCCCCGCCCACTGGCCAAGCACCCCTTTCTCATCACCTTTTGCCGCGGGTCTCCCAGCCTCACCCAGTCGTCTATTACCTTCAGTCCCGTTTACCCTTCGTCCTCACTCCGATTTGCCCTCCTTCCTTTATACCCAGTCTTCCCCCCCCACCCCCGCCCCACCTCCAGTAGAACCTGGGCGGGATAAGCAGCAGGAACGCGACTCCCCTTCGCACGCCCTCGCCGGGCCCCAGGCCACCTCTGGGCGGGGCACTGCCAGCTGTGCGGCGGGGTAAACAAAAGAGAGGGGGTGCGGCGGGGGCAGGGCGGTGTCCCCACATTCCCCACCCTTGGGGAGCCCCGGGACCACAGAGCCAAAGGGAGATTGGATGTGTCTATGGAGGGCACCCCTCCCTCTCTTCCTCCCCTGAAAACAGCTGGAGACAGCTGTGCCGAGGGGAAGGAGGGTCGGCAGACCGCCAGGGCGGTCCAGAGAGGGGAGTTGGGATTCTGAGCCACCACTGTAGAGGGGGGAAAAAAAAAGCACAGGAAAAGGCCACCTCAATTTAGAAGGGTCAGGGGACAGGAGTCCTGGGAGGACATCAGCTAGGTTCCCGGTACTCTGGTGTTCAAAGACAGCTTAAAGTTTCTAGAACAGAGAAGGCTAACTCAGGAAACAGAGGATCCCTTTTAAGTCCTTTAGGGGAGAGTTACCTAGAAATCAGGGCAATCAGAGCAAGCTTGGATGAAGTGGTAGTTTCTAGCACCTAAGAACCTTCACTGGCTGGGACTCTAAAATACTGTGGAAATCCCTTCAACCAAGAGATTGGGTGCCACCCCTGCCCTAAGTCTTTTGAATTGACTTAGGGGAGGGGAGAGATGAATCTGGAGTTTGGGGGATAATCCACCAATCAGGACCAACTCTGAAGTTCTCTGAAGATAGATGAGATTCAGTTCCTGGGAAGGGAATCAGCTGGATTTGGAGAGGCAGGAATTAGGGATCTCTGGGATTGGGGTATTCCCTTGGAAATCTAAGGAAATGTGACCCCTTTGTGGGCTCCCCAACCAGGGAGGGGAGTTATCATTGCACAGCGCTTGAAGTCTCGGGTTTCTCCTGGAAATGGAAAAAGTGGTCAAGGGACAATACTAGCATTCTCCAGAGAGGGCCACAGTTTGGGGGAATTACTTTAAAAGACTGGGAGGGAACTTGGCAGGAGGAGTTCCATCTCCAGAGTCTGTTAGCAGGGGTGTGGAGGGAACTCTAAATCTAGAGGCAGAAACTCAGGGGTCCCTGGTTAGAAGCATATCTGGATTCCAAATACTGTGGGGGGGGGCGCTTTGAGCGGCAGGGCCTATAAGAAGCTTCACTAATCTCATTTCACTAAGAATCGAGATTCCAAAATGGGAAGGGTCTCGGATGGAAATCCTGGGAAGCCAGCCAGACCCAGAGGCACTTCCTAGCTGCAGAAAGTCCTTCTCTGCCTTATCTTGGGCCTGGTTTGAGACTACCAGCCTCGATTCCCTTGAAAGGTGCCCAGGCTGGAGCGTTCAGCTAGATGAGATGAGGACATCGGGGTCCTGTTGAGGTCAGCCTTCCTTCCACATGCCCCTCCTTGTGCCTCCAGGGGCTTGGCACCCGCCTGGGCACGGCGCCTGGCACGGGCACGTAGGGGCTGGGCCGGGAGGGAGTGAAGGAAGGAAGGAGGGAGGAAGGGGAGGAGAGAGGGAGTGGCAGCGGGCGGGGGCTCAGGCGGGAGATGAGCTCACGCCGGGGCCGGGTTAGGCTGGCTAGAGGCCAGGCTGGGCGAGTTCTCGGAGCCAGGGGCCCCCACTCCCCACTCCAAAGGACCTGAGGGATGAGAGGCAGGGAGGATTCGACCCTCCCTGTAGTCTGCCCACCTCCACAATCTGGAACAACAGGTGGCCGCCGTTCTTTTCCATCTTACCTGAGCCCCCACCCCTAAGGCTCACCCCCCCCAGGACCGGTGCATACTCTTCTCCAGTCTCCTCCGCCCCCCAGGGGGCGCCCCTTCCCCAGGCCTCCTTTCTGGATTTCTGAAGCATGTGGGACCCCCCCTGTAAAATGCCTCCTTCTCCCCCCCCAAAGGCACAGAAAGTGGGAGCCTCCACCCCACACACACCCCCACCGCTGCTCCCACACAGCCCTAAAAAAAAAAGGAAAAAAGTGTTCCCTTGGTTCCCCGGGGACCCATTACATAGACACTCCAAGTTAATTCCCTTCCCAAAAGTTCTGACGCTCCCACTTTTGACTCAAAGGCAAAAGCCGGCCCCAGCCCCCTCACGTGGGACAACACTGGTCCCCGGGACCTCAAACTGCTTGCAAAATCCAGACCCTGACGACCCACCACCCCGAACTAGGAGTGTGAGCCCCTCATCTTCCCTACCCTAAGCATTAACTCTCTCCACCCCTCAGCACTGATGCACATGAAATCTGGGCTCCTTCTCCCAGCAGGATTTTTGTCTCTCCCCCCCATCTCCTGGGGTCCTCCTCCCTCAGGGCACCCCCCGATTCCTTCGGCAGCATCACAGCCCCCCCTTCCCTGCACTCACAGGCGCGGAAGCCGGGTCCCCCCGGGGCCGCCCCGCCGGGCGCGCCGCTGTCCACGCTGGTGGCGTTGCGGGGCGCGCAGGTCGGGGTGCAGCGGGAGCCGCTGGGCCCATGGATGCAGCGCAGGCCGCACACGGCCGGGGTGAAGCGCACGCGGAGCCGCTCTCGGGGCCGGCCCTGCCCGGGTTGGGGCCCGAGCAGCACCAGGAATGACACCCAGAGCAGCCGCGCGCCGCCCGCCATGGCTGCAGCTCCGCCGCCCCAGCCCGCCCGAGGGGCCCGGCCGCGCCCGCCCGCCTGCCCGCCCGCCCGCGGGGGAGGGCGGCCGCGCCCCCGCCCAGGCCCCCTCCCCGGCGGCCGCGCAGGGGCGCGTGGGGCTGGGCGCTTAGCCAGAGGCGCGAAGGCTGGGCGCTAGACGCTCAGGGGGAAGGGGGGCGCCCCCTCCGCACCCCCACCCCGCACTCCAACAAGTGGAAGGAACTGGCATGGGAGCACCCGGGAAACGAACAGGTGGGGGTGGAAGAACTTCCTCTCCCCCACCCCCCACACAGAGTTAAATCCATTCAAGAGGAAATTCATAAAATGTAGTGGGGGGGGGAGTTGGGGGAGGGAGGGTCTCGCATTTGGGAAGCCAGCTGAAGGCTGATCTGCCTGGGGTTGATCATCTAGATAGGCAGCTGTGGTGTCCCATCTGAGCAGCCAGGTGACATCTGGGGGGGGTGAGAAGGGTCATGGCATCTAAAGGAATTAGGGGGGAGGGGTCGAGATCCTGGAGAGGGGGCACACTTGGAGATGTAGCTGCATGGAGCCAAGACCCCTGCGCGCGCGCGCACACACACACACACACACACACACCTGGTCAGAGAAAGCCAGCAGAATGGATAAAGGGAAAGGATGGATTGAAGTTGCGGGCAGGGGTCCTCACATCTGGCCCTGGGCCCACATCTGGAAGACTTTAGGAAGGAGGGGACACATCTGGGCCGAAGACCACAGCAGAAGGGGGACGGTTGAGGATGGTTGATTCTAGATGCTGTTCTAGTCTGGGGAGAGCCGGGGAAGGGTCCCCAGGGCACAGCAGGGGAGGGTCCAGCTAGGGGGAAAAAAGCCTTTGACCCCCCCCCAGCCCCCCACCCCCAATCCTGGGCATTCTGTTCTGGGGCAGGCTCCAACCCGCACAATCGCTTTTGTTGTCTGGGCTGGTTTCAGCCTCGTTCTCTGCTGGGCCAGTGGGCCACCGCCCCCCTCTTCTTCTGAAGGAGCCCGGACGCCTGGCTTCCCGGCCCCACCCCGACGGGTCAGGGCCTCTGGCCTGCGTCTAGTCCTGTCCCGGGCTCACCTCGCACAGCCGGAGGCAGGGGTCCCTAGAGGTGGCCTAGTCCTGGGAGAGGGTGGGGGAGACTGAGCTACAATGGGGAGGGGTGGCCTGCAGGCGGCAGCTGGACCGTGGGAACCAGACGGTTTTATCAGACCCGGAACCCCCCCCACCCCTCCCCAGGCGGAGGAAAAGCGGATGTTCTTACCCCGAGCCTGGCCCACTGGGGCGCGCTGTGGGGGCCTCTTTTTCAGTAGTGCCCGGCCCCCTGGCCTTCCAAGCCTTCTTCTCTTCAGCAAGGCTCTGGCCTCCTGTAGCCTGGTTTGGGGGGGGGGGTGCAGAGAAAGGGCTGGGCTGCATTGAAGCTTGACACCCCACCCCTCCAAGGATAGGGCCTCCCCCACACCAGGAGGTCTCCCAGTGGAGATGAGCCCCCTCCCCCACCTCACCCCACTCCCCAGCTCCTTTACAGTGAACAGGCCTCAGTGTTCTGTAGACAGCTTGGAAAGAAAAAGAACAAATTCAGAAAGAGAAGCAGCAAGACAGAAACAGACACTGAAAAAGAAACAGAAATACTGACACAGGCCAATAGTGAAAGGAGGGGAGGGTGTCCCCAAAAGATTGGATAGGAAGTGGTGTTGTGGCTCAAGTGGTAGAGCACTCGCCTTGAGCTGAAGAGCTGAGGGACAGCGCCCAGGCCCAGAGTTCAAGCCCCACGACTGACCAAAAACAAACAAAAAGATTGGATAGGGAAGTGACCACACACTTACGTCAGTGGCTGCCAGTTGAGGGACACCTGTCTCTTGCTCTCACTGGGGCTGGGGCTGGGACTAGGGCTTGGCACTGGGGGTACTAGGGTAGGGCACTGCCGGAGGCCTGTGCATTCTTCAGGTGGGCAGCTTCGGACCCTGCAGGAGGCTTCAGAGACAGCTAAGGCTAAGTGAAGAAGGACCAGCCTATCTAGTGCATCTCATTTTCCCATTAGAATGAAACTGGGGAATGGAGCCCCCCCCACCTCCAGCCCTTACCCTCTTTCACCCCCTACCCATATCCCACCAGGAAGAAGGAAGAACCCACCTCGGGTACAACGGCTCCTCCTAGGTGCCTGGTCTACGCAGCAACGGCAAGAAGCAATGCTATAAAAAATAGGGGAGAAGAATAGCCCCACCCCCAACTCAGAACTTCCCCTAAAGGAAAGCAGGGAAGAAGGGAAGGATTCTTTAAGTGTGTGACAAACTTGCATTAAAATTGTTTTTTTTTAAATTTCTGCTTGCCTCAGTTTCCCCATCAGTGCAATGGGCTTAGATACTAGAAGAATAAAGGCCAAAACAAAGTGATTCCCCCCCCAACCCCCAGTCCTGGGGCTCAAACTTAAAGCCTAGATGCTGTTTCTGAGCTCCTTTTGCTCAAGGCTAGCACTCTACCATTTGAGCCACTGCAGCATTTCTTGCTTTTTCTGAGTAGTTTACTGGAGATAAGAATCTCATGGACTTTCCTGCCCAGGGAAGCTTTGAACCATGATCTCAGCATACTGAGTATCTAGGGTTACAGGCATGAGCCACGGGCATCTGGCTTGCAAAGTTACTTTCATGTAATCTTATGAAGTCCACTTGGCAGCTATGGCTTTGTTACAGGATAGATTTTAAATTGTTATTTAAAAAAAATAGCGAAGCTGGGTGCAGGTGGCTCAACCCTGTAATCCTAGCTACTCAGGAGGCTGAAATCTGAGGATCATGGTTCAAAGCCAGCCTGGGCACGAAAGTCCGTGAGACTCCTGTCTCCAATAAACCACCAGAAAACCGGAAGTGGCGCTGAGGCTCAAATGGTAGAGCACTAGCTTTGAGCTGAAGAACTGAGGGACAGTGCCCAGGCCCAGAGTTCAAGTCCCACGAAGGACAAAAAGAAAAAAAAATGAAGATTTCTAAGAACATTCCCAAATCCCCGACTGGTTAGGATCTAGAACTCCGCCCCCCTGTTCTAACCCTCCAGCCCAAATCTGAGATTCAGGCGACACACTGAGGCCTGGTCGATAGGTGGTGCTACAACCTCAGGTCTCTGCGACTGGACACCATTGGTATCTGTTCCCTGTGACTGTAGGTCCAGCAGGGTGCTGAGATGTGGAAGGGGCTACTGACATCCAGGATAGGCAATCTCCAGGCCTGAGTTCTACCCGTTCCTGCCTTCCATGCTGGAGCCAGAATCTCCAGATCTGTGGGTCTCAGCTTCCTGCCTAGACAGGAGGAAGGACTCTTTCCTGAAGACATCTCTACACCCAGAAAAGTTTCAGTGGCCAAGTACATGGCAATCCAGCCTGCACCACTCTCCCCCCTCCCCCAGACAAGTCCATTATCCTCAGGCTTAAGGGGGGGAGTGAGGGATGAGGGCTTGCGCCCAGACCCCCAGAGCAGAGCAATGGAGGATGCTGAGAAAGGGGTCATCCGCTTATTGGACCTATTCCAGACACGTGGGGCCCAGTGGAGAAGGAGGCCTCCCCCCCCACCCAAGGGACTTCTGAGACCCCCTTCAATCCTGTCACGATCCCTCCTGCTTTTTCTTCGGGTTAACCCCTTCCGGGCTCCGCCCCCCAGCGCGGCTCGGGTTACTAAATGCATTTGCAGAGACCAAGGCGGGAGCAGAGCCCGAGGCCTTTGTAACGGAGTGCTGGGCCGCTGGACAAGGGGGTGGGGTGCTGGGCAGACTGTTTGTTTGGATCGTGTCACCCCCCTGGATAGGAGGGGGTGCCTATAACTCCCCAATCAGTAGGACATTCTGCATCTCCTGCCGCGAAATAAATGGTAACTCATTCAATCCTAGAGTCCTAGGGCATGCCCAAACCTGAAGATCTCCTCCCTCCCATGATTCCCCCCAAATCCCCATGCCAGCACCCCCAGAATCCATGTCTTCCTAATCTGTTAGAAAAATCAAAAGGTCCTTGTAAATGAATCCAGTGTCCCTGGAAATCCAATACATCTCAACTTTCCCGTAAACACTCTCCTGAGGCTCCCAACACCTTTCTTCCTTGAGAATTTCCCCAAATTTGGGGAACTACGTCCAAGTTCACTTCTATCATTCTTAATAGAATCCGAAGCCTCTTCTCCGAAATCAACTGGGTATACTCCCCAGCCTCCCCTTCCCCCCAAAAAAAGTAAGTCCCTGGTTTTGCAGGACCTTATCCATCTCTTTGCACCATACTAGGGGAGGGGAGGGGCGCTTTCCTCAAAATCCCAGTCCTTCTAGGAGTCTGACCCCTACACAATAGGGACCCTAATGGATCCCAGGGCTCGGTCCTCTTCTCATCACTATGTCCGTGTGTTTGTACGCCCCTACATCCGAAAGCCTTGGTTCTCCCGGACCTCCAGACTTACTGGGTGCACTAGGAAGAAGGGGCTGCAGAGGGAGGCTTACCCGGCCTGGCGGCCCAGGTCCTCCGCGACCTCCATGGCCGGGCTGGGGCCGGGGCTGGGGTCGGGGCTGGGGTGGGCAGCGGCCGCAAGCATCAGCAATATCAGCGTCAAGAGAGGGTGGCGGCTGCGGCGGCCGAGCTGCCACATCTTGTCCGGCTCCCGGCGGGCGGTCTGTCCGGCCGGTCCAGCTCCGCGGGACCCCAGCCCCGCCTCCGCCCCCGCCCCTGCTCCAGGGACGACTCACTTTCTCCACTGTCCCAGCCTGCAGGCTGCAAACTTCCCGCCAATCAGACCCCGGCGCTTGCCAGCGCTCCGCATTTAGCCAATCAGGTGGTGGCAGGGGCGGGGCTAGATGGACAGGTGCGGGGCGGGGGCGGCGGAGGGAGGCCTGGGTCTGAAGTTTTCAAGGCGGCGGCGGGAGCAATCTTGGAGTCAGGCACCGAGTCCTCAAACCCTCTTAGGCAGTAAAGGTTCCCGATGAGGTGGTTGCTTACAACCGGGAGGCATGCACAAGGAGGCGCAGGGTCCCTGAATTAGATTTCTGCTGGCAGGCCACATCCCTCCCTCACAGTTCTGACTAGTGTACAAGTCACAGCCCCACAGTACCCATTTCCCACGCCAAGGGTACTAAAGATTTGGGGGTGAAAATCTTTTGGGGTGTGTGTGTGTGCCAGTACTGCCTTGAATTTATAGCATTTTGCTGGTTACCTGGAGATGAGTCTCATGCACTTTTCTGCCAGGGCTGGTTTGGAACTAGATTCCTCAGATCCCAGTCTCTTGATTTTCACTCCCAAAACACTTCCAAAACTCCTGGTTTGGGAGTGAAAATCCTGGTGGCTTACACCTATAATCCCAGTACTTAGAGAGGCTGAGGTAGGAGCTTCTAGTTCAAGGCCAGCCTGGCCCACATATCCCTGACTATCCCTGCCTCTTCCAGAGAAATAGTATGGGCCAGGTTCAGGTCTTTTCTTCTGAGGGTCCCAGAGCCACACTAAACTTTCCAAGATTTGTCCCTTCCCAAGGCCCTATCCTGCTGTTCCAGGATCAACATCTGCAAGAGCTTGTCCTGGGGGGTGGGGGGAACTACTCTTGGCTTCTTCACCCAGATTCTGTTCCCAGAGAACTCCAGCTCTGCCCTATTCAGCACCACCCTGCTTCTGCTCCTAGGAGGTACTAGATTCCTTTCCTGCTACCAGATTCCTTTACTGCTTGAATCTTTTATTTGTGCTGGTCCTGGGGTTTGATCTCAGGGCCTGAGCACTGTCCCTGAGCTTTTTTGCTCAAGGCTGGCACTCTACCACTGAAACCACTTCCAATCTTTTTGGGTAGTTAATTGGAGATAAGAGTCTTAGGGACTTTCCTACCTGCGCTTTCAGTCTGCAATCCTTAGATCTCAGCCTCCTGAGTAGCTAGTAGAGGCATGAAGCTACCAGTGACCAGCTCACTGTAATTTGCATGTGTGTGGGGGGGTGGTGGTGGTGGTCCTGGGGCTTGAACTCAGGGGTTTGCACTCTTGCTCAGCTTTCTTGCTCATACTTGAGTCAGGAGTAAATACAAATTTCTGCCCTCTTTTCACATAAGCCTTGTTTTTCTTCCCCCTAAGACCCTGCCTGTAGGGCTTCAGACCCTGCCCCCTGACCACCTCCATTTTCCTGACTGGTCCCACCATACCTCTTCCAGAGAAGTCCCATACTTAGGATTCTAGCGCCCCCCCCCCGCTTTCCATGTTTGTTCAGCTTCTGTGTTCTCTCCCAGCCATCTGATTTTTTTTGGGGGGGGTCCGGTCATGGGACCTAAACTCTGGGCCTGGGTGCTGTCCCTCAGCTCTTCAGCTCAAGGCTAGCACTACCACTTGAGCCACAGAGCCACTTCCAGCTTTTTTCTTTTTGCTTATGTGGTGCTGAGGAATCGAACCCAGGGCCTCATGCATGCAAGGCAAGCACTCTACCACTAAGCCACCTTCCCAGCCCAGCCATCTGATTCTTGAGGTTTCCTTAATCCTATAGCAACAGCCCATCTTCAGTATTCCTGGGCTAAGTTTACACAAGCCACTGGCCCCTGGTACTACCTGCAGAGCCCACCTCAGACTAAAAACAAACAATCTAGGTTCACCGGTTCCTTATTTTTACTCCTGCCGAGTGGTGTGCAGAGTGAAGCTTTCACCCCTCCCTCGCAGTGAGACACTCAGGCTGACTCACTCTGCTACACTTCCACCGAGATAGCCACCTACAGCAATCCCTATCTCATACAAACACCTAGAAATCTGGGCCCACCATCATTCACGGACAGGCATCCCCCTGGGGCAGTTAACAATGGCATGGCTGTCTCATCACAGCCATTCAAGGGCTGACCCAGCTGGAGGCCAGAGTGCCCGGCTCTGCCCACATGTGCTCTGCCTTTGCCTTTGCGTGACCTCAAAATCCCCACTCACATGGCCCTACAGGCCACCATGGTCCCTCACCCATTTCCATCCCCCTTCCCACATCCTACCCTGTGGCTGGAGCATTTGCTGGGGGCGCTGCCGAAATCTCTCCCTTCTGCCTGAGATCCAGGGCATCTTCAATGCTCGTTGCTAGGCAACAGCCTCTGGCTCACCACTGCAACTTCCGGGGATGGTATTGGCCTCCCTTCCTCCCCTCCCCATTATTTGGAGTACCCAGCTCCCAGTCTTTTCCTATCTTCCAGAATCTTATCGATGTTATCATCCCTGGATTCTGCTCTGATTACTACCCTTCAGAACCTCTCAGAGGTCTAGTCCTAAGGCGTTCCAGAAGCTTCTCCCTATCATTCTCCTCTCCACACACTTTTATCCCTACTTTGTGTGTGTGTGTGTGTGTATCAGTGGTGGGGCTTGAACTCTGGGTCTGGACACTGTCCCTGAGCTCTTCAGCTCAAGGTGAGCACTCTACCACTTGAGCCACAGTGCCACTCCCAGTTTTCAAGGACTTGACTGTCCAGGCTGGCTTTGAACCATGCTCCTCAGATCTCAGCCTCCTGAGTAGCTAGGATTACAGGCTTAGCTACTCTCTCTTGCCTGGCTTTGTCTAGTCTTATTTGGAGAAAAACAACAACAACAAAAGCCAGGTGCCTGTGGCACTAATCCTAGCTACTCAGGAGGCTGAGATCTGAGGAGCATAGTTGGAAGCCAGCCCAAGCAGGAATGCCTGTGAGACTCTTATCTCCAAATTAACCACCAGAAAACTGGAAATGGTGCTGAGGTTCAAAATGGTACAGTGCAAGCTTGGCGGGGGGAGGGGAAGCTCAGGAATAGGTCCCAGGCCCTGAGTTTAAGCCCCAAGACCCCCCCAAAAAAAACAAACAACCCTCAGAACAACCCTTCAGTGTTCCGGATATAACATCCCATCTTTCTCTATTACTTTAAGATCATGAGATTCCACATTCACAAGAGTGCTCTGCACTGGGCAATGATGTCAGTATTTTAGATGGGGGGAGAATTATATCTCTGTATTCTAGACATGCTGCCATTCTATATGCCTCCCCCTTCTCTATAATTCCTAACAGTCACATATTTCTCAGTGTTCTGAATGTCCTAGAATATTTAAAACAAAAATCCATGACAGGCATGCAACTCAGTGGCTGAGAACTTGCCTAGCATGCATAAGGCCTTGGGGTTTGATTTTGTTTTGTTTTCCGTTGTGGGGCTTGAACTCTGGGCCTGTGCACTGTCCCTCAGCTCTTCAGCACAAGGTGAGTATTCTATCACTTAAGCCACAGCGTCACTTCTGGTTTTCTGGTGGTTTATTGGAGATAAGAGTCTCAAAGACTTTCCTGCCTGAGCTGACTTTGAATAACTGGTGTGAGCCACAGGCGCCCAGCTAAGGCCTTGGGTTTTATCCCCAGCACCAAGCAAAACAAAATTTGCTTTGGAATTTGAGGAAATCTGAAACACATAGGTTTTAGGATCCATTGCCTTTTAGGTCAACTGTTTACTCTAGATTTTGAGAGTCAGGAATCTCCATGCCATTTGGGTGTAGTAGCCCATGTCCATAATTCCAGCTACTTGGGAGACAAGACCTATAGCCATCCATTCACAGTGACCATACTAAAGGGTTCAAAAATGCTCATCTGAACCAACTCAAGCCAACGATCATCAACCCTATGATTTCTGCTGCTAGAAAGCAAAAGAATGTTAAAGAGCTTCCTAAGATCGTCTCGCCACTGATTGACTATGATGCATCCTAGAGGAAAGCAAATCCAAGAGATAAGAGAAAGCCATTGGGAATGAGGGTTTTGAACCCCTGGATCCAGACATGCCTGAAGTCAGATGGTAAGCCATTTCTTAAACCAGGAGAGGCAAATACTCATAAATTTACCACCAGGAACCTGGTTAGGACCCACATCTCCCTAGGGACCACCCCCTCCCCCCCCAAAAAATCTAAGAATACAAAATAGGGTGTTGGCAGTGAAAATGTTATTGAGGAGAGTGACTTTGGCTTCCTAAAAAAGTGGGGGGGGGAGGCGGGGAAATGGAGACCTAGTAACAAATGATTGCTTCGAGGAGGCCCTGGCCCTGAACCCAGGGATCCCACAGGAAGCAGGCGGGGGGGACCACACAGCTCCTGACTTCATTGGTGTTTTCAGGGTGGGGGGGGGGGGCACCTGAGTCCCCTGGGAGCAGAGTATCCAAAGGCACCTTGGCAAGCTGGGTTTAAAAGGAAGTTTCGTTGAGTTTCTTCTTGGGAGATGCAAGGGGTGTCCCAAGACCCGCCGAGGGCCGAGGGGCTGGTGTGGGTGGCCGCCGGGGCTCTGGCACGCTCCGTACCAGTTCCTGGCATCTTTCCACAAAGCTGCCTCCCCCTCGGCGCCGGATCTCTGCTTGTGGGGGGCTGGGGCTCCCATGGCGGCCACACAGTGAGGTGTTGCTGGAGGCTGAGTGGAGACTGAAGGAGGTGGGAGAGGTGGGCACCTGGCATCATGGGGCAGTGGGCTGCCCCTCCCACCAAGGGCCACACTGCTGTTGCCTGTCGTACCCCGCCCCCCCCACACCATAAAATGGGGGAGAAATAGAGCTACTACCTGGTAAGTGAGGTCCGGGGTGAGGGGCTGGGGAGGGAGGCCCGGGAGGAAGCCAGCGGGGCCAGCTCACACTGCTCCAACTGTCCCATTAACTCTTCCTCCGTCAGACCACCTGCTGGGGGCCCAGAAAGCAGTGTCAGGGAGCAAGACAGTAGTGCAAGCATCCAGGGTTGAGATGGGTGAAAAGATTTGGAGAGTGACAGGCAGGGGTCAGAGGTGAAGGGAGGGACGGGGAAGTGAGGGTAAGGAGCTGGAGGACAGGGTGAGAAGGGAGGTCACAGCAAAGTAGGCTTTGATTCAGGCTCTGGAGTGACAGGGGGCCCTGGGCTGGGTTCAAAGTGAGGCAAGGAGGGTGGGCGTTGGTGGTATAGTGGGTAGCATAGCTGCCTTCCAAAGTGAGGCAGGGAGTACCAGGTGCCTGGCCAAGGCCATCCATGGCTGTGGTCAGATCCCACATGGCCAGGCTGCCATTAGCCTGCCCAGTGAGCAGGTAACGCCGGGGTCTGGAGCCCAGTCGCCGGGATCCCTCGCACTCCAGCACGGTGAAGGCGGTCGTGGCGGAGCCATCCACGGAGCGCACGGAGCACACCCTGCGGACAACAAGCCATCAGGGGCTGTGCTGGCTGTGCAAGTCCGCTTGTGTATGTGTATATGTGTGTGTGTGTTGTTTTGCTTTTGCTGGTTCTAGGACTTGAACTGAGGGCCTGGGCACCATCCCTTACTTAATTTTTCCACTAAGATTAGCACTCTACCATTTGAGCCACCAAGCATGCTTGCCCTCCCGTGGAGACCCCTTTTCTGGCCTCTGTGGCCCAGAGGACAGTCCTTACCGCTGCCCAGTGGCTGAAAGACGCACGAAGAGCTGGCTGGCACTGGGCACCACCTTCTGAATGAACACCTGCTGGTCATCTCGCTCACCATAGGGGCCTGGACAGCCAGGGGTGGGTGTTCAGGGCTAGCCAGGGACCCTTGGACCTCCAGACCCTAAGGCTTGCTTTCCCACTGCTGAACCCCCTTCTAGACCTAGGTCCTGTTCCCAGGCTGCTGGGTGGGGTCAGGGAAGAAGAGAGGGACCAGTGGTTAATTCAAGCCCATCAGGGGATTGGGTGCTGGACTGTGGGGGTGGGTGGGGCCCTGGGCCAGGAGGCTATCAGTAGGAATTGGTGAATGTGACAGCCCCACAGGAGTCATCAGGGGGTCAAGTGGAGGTTAGCAATCAATGGTGAAGGTCAACTAGAGCAGCTCTATTGGTCGATAGAGACCTACAGGGGTCAATGGGGAGGGGCGGGCAAGGCAGTGGGGAGGGGCCAGGAGCCAGGAAGTACCAATGTCATTGCCAGCACTGCAGCCTCCATGCCCATCAGCTGACTCCAGAGCTAGGATCTTGAAGGATGCCAGGGGCGTGGAGCCTGGCTGTGTGGAGATCATGCCACGGAAGCGGGTCACAGACCACGTCCGCACGTGGTTGTTGTCAGCACAGACTGAGGAGAGCACAGGATGGCAGAGAGTCAGGCTCAGCCATGGGATTCACAAAGCTCAACCCTTCCAGAACCCCAGAGTGACTCTTTTTTGCCTCTCTGCGGCCATCCAGCTGGTCTCTCCTGCAGGGGACCCACCTGAAATGAGGTGCTTCTCAGACAGCATGATCTTGATGACAGGGCTACGATGCACAGTGAAGGTCTGGAAGAGCTGGGGCCCCGAGCCCACGGTCTCAGGGTGCTGCACAATGACTCGTACACCCCCCGAACTGGTGCCATAGGCAATCTCAATCCAGTTCCCACTGTCACCTAGTGGGGGACAAAGACAGGACCTGCATCACAGAGAGACAAAAACCAAGGGGGACAGAAAGAGACAGATCCAGGGGAGATGCCAGAGATCAGGGGGCAAGACAGACAGACAGACAGACAGGCAGGCAGGCAAGTAAACAGATACAGACACAGAGAGAGATGCTAAGATGAGGGAAATACGGGGCTAGGAAGACAAAGGAACAGAGTACAGAGACCACAAGCAAAATTTAAGACAATAAGAGAGAAGAGATAGAAAAACAGAGACACGGGGAACTGGGAAACTGAATTAGGATGACACAGAATCAGACAAACAGTTAGATATGACATGAGAGAGAAAAAAATGAAAGTCTGCTGGGCACAAAGTCTACAGGACTTTTTCTTCCCGGGGTTAACTTCAAACTACAATCCTCAGATCTCAAGCTCCTGAGTAGCTAGATTGCAGGTGTGAGCCACCAACGCCCAGCTACCTTTCTGGTTTTATGAACATACAAATGTCATGCCTTAGACTGGCGCCAGTGGCTCACGCCTGTAATCCTAGCTACTCAAGAGGCTGAGATCTGAGGATCTCCGTTCAAAGCCAGTCTGGGCAGGAGCTCCCATGAGTTTTGCAATTAACCACTCTTATCTCCAGTTAACCACCAGAAAATCAGAAGTAGCATTGTGGTTCAAGTGGTAGAGCCTTAAGTTGAAGAGCTCAGGGACAGCACCCAGGCCCAGAGTTCAAGCCCCACCACCAACCAACAAACAAACAAAAGTCATGTCTTGACCATAGGGATGGAAGAGAAACAGCAAGATGAACTCCCAGAGGCCAGTTCTTCCTCCAGTGGAGAGGCTGGGCCCCAGCTAAGCCCTAAAAACAGTGCTCCATGAATGTTTGCTGAATGACTAAATAATAAATCCCATGCTAGGCCACACAAGTGGCAACGTGGCTACAGGCTGGGCCTGGGCTGGCTGGTAATGAGGTGGGGGACAGAGTAAGTTGTGTGAGAGCTTACTGGTCTTGGGGGTGAGGTAGACACTGAGGGCGGTGACCCCATCCTCCGCAGGGTCCCGGTAGAGTTCGCTGACAAGGAGGTCATTGTCCTTCATGCGTAGCGGAAACTTCTGTACATCTGGGGAAGATGGGGGGGAGGGGTGAGTGAGGCCGGTTCCAGGCACCCAGCTGGACCCCTCTGGTCCCCAGGAAGCTGTTGCTCACCCACATAGTAGATGGAGCCATTGCTGCAGCCCAGGAGGAGGAAAGAGCCAGCTGCATCATAGCTGGTAATTGGCTGCACCTCTTGGACCTGAAGCCAGAACAGGCAGGGCAGGAGGTGGTAGGTAGTATGGTACCTTCCACACCTTTGCTTCTCTTGTACCTCTCACAAAGTGCCCTCCTTCCCTCCAAGATCCACCTTAGTCCCAAACTTACTTCTCCCAGCCTGGCCAGGTATAGCCTATCTCTACGTGTCCTGTACCTCCTTTTTGAACTTTTTTTTTTTTTCTGTCAGTCGTGGGGCTTGAACTCTGGGCCTGGGAGCTGTCTCTGAACTTTTTTTTTTATTAATAAGTTTTTTTTTTATTGTGAAAATACCATACAGATGGGTTACAGTTACATGGGCAAGGTAATGAGTACATTTCTTATCAAGCATTGTTGCCTCCTCCTTTGTTTCCCCTTCCCATCCCAACCCTCCCATCTCCCCGGCTCCCCCTCTGCCATAACATCTTGTACATCTCATTGTTGCAGTGGGTCCACCTGTATCCCTGTTTAAACAATTTGTTTTTTCCCTTCCCCTCCACAAATTATACCAACATCAAATACAGTGAAAACAGGGGTTCTACTGTGGGGGACTCTGAGATCTTTTGTTCAAGGCTAATGCTTTAACAGTTGGAGCCACAGTGCCACTTCTAGTTTTTGCATGGTTAATTGGAGATAAGAGTCTCATGGACACTTTTCTGCTTGGGCTGGCTTCGAACTGTGATCTTTAGATTCCAGCCTACTAAGTAGCTAGGATTACAGGTCTGAGCTGCCAGCACATGGCCTTCCCTTTTGAACTTCCATCTCTGTCTCTCCTCAATTTGTTTTCTGTGTACTGGGCATAGGGCTTGAATTCTGGGCCTGGGCACTGTCCCTGAACTTTTTTGCTCAAGGCCAGTGCTCTACTGCCTGAGCCACAGCACTACTTCTGGTTTTCTGGTAGTTCATTAGAGGTAAGTGTCTCATAGACTTTCCTACTCAGACTGGCTTCCAACCCCAATTGTCAGATCTCAGCCTCTTGAGTAGCTAGTATTACAGGCGTGAGCCACCAGTGCCTGGCCTGGAAAGACCTTTGACACACACATAACCAGGCTCTGCCCACCACTGGCTTTCTCTAGGTAGAGTGGGAAAGAAAGGAACCCCTTTTTCAGGCTACATGATCTAGGAAGGGGGACCCCAGGCTAGCCAGAGCTCTGACCTGCCAGTGCTTGGTGACAGCATTCCACACCCCAATGCGCCCCGTGTGGCTTGTGGCGATGAGTTGGTTCCCCACGAAGAACAAGGCCTCCACAGGCACACCCAGATGGAAGACTCCTGTGGGGGACAAGGAGGGGACAAGGAGAGTCAGACAGGACCCCATTTCACAGGGAGGGATGTGGCAGCAGGAACGCCAAGGCTCAGAGGATCCTATTGGGCCATGGAATTCTCTCCAGTAGAAATTCCAGCAGAAAGAAAGTTAAAAAAAAAAAAAAAAGCTGGGTGCAGGTAGCCCATACCTATCATCCTCCATATACAGGAGACTGAGATCTGAGGATCGCAGTTCAAAGCCAGCTCAGGCAGGAAAGTCTGTGAGACTCTTATTTCCAATTTCTCAGCAAAAAGCAGTAAGTGGACCAGCCTTAAGTGAAAAAGCGAAAGGACAGCACTCAGGCCCTGAGTTCAAGTCCTAGTACTTGTACAAACAAAAACAAATGAATAAAAATATGTTGGTTTAGGATGGATATATTTTTTCCCAAGGACAGATTGGTTTAAAAGTTGAGCACTGGGCTGGGAAGGTGGCTCAGTGGTAGAGCGCTTGCCTTGCATGCTCGAGGCCCTGGGTTCCATTCCTCAGCACCACATAAGCAAAAAGAAAAAAGCCGGAAGTGACGCTGTGGCTCAAGTGGTAGAGCGCTAGCCTTGAGCTGAAGAGCTGAGGGACAGTGCCCAGGCCCAGAGTTCAGGCCCCACGACCGGACCAAAAAAAAAAAAAAGTTGAGCACCAACAGCAACACAGATTCTAACAGGCCCTGGGATTTTACTCCCATGGAACATTTTAACAGAGCAAAGAGATCTAACAAAGAGTGGACTTTGATGGGGGAGAAAATTGTACCAGGGAGGATTTTCCTAAGAAGAAGATTTTCCTAAGAGACCAAAGAATTCCAACCAGATTTGAAATTCTTTTTTTCTCACCCAGTACTGAGGTTTGAAGTAAGGGCCTCACACATGCGTGCCTGGTGCTCAACCACTTGTGCCATGCTTCCCTGGCTTTTTGCTGATTATATTAGAAATAGAATCTCAAAGATTTTCCTGCCCCAGACTGGCTTCAAACTGAGATCTAAACTTCAGCCTCCTGAGTTACTAGGATTACAGGTGTGAAGCATGATGCTCAGCCAGGATATGAAATTCTGAAGGGTTGGAGCTTTCTCATGGGATACAGAGCATTCTCATGGGGTTAAGAATGTTGTGGGGTGGGCTATTTTAATAGTCTACAGAATTCTCCAGGGCAGAGGGTTCTGGAAAAGGCCAGCAGTAGTACCTATCTCAGAGCCTCCGCCTTCCGCCTGCAGAGCCCACAGCAGGATCTCGTTGCCTGTGGCCACGGCCACCATCTTGTCATGCTCCCCCAGTGCTCCACCAGGTACACGGGCCGTTAGTGCCAAGCGTTCGATGGGCCAGTCTAGGCGGGGACTAGAAAATACCAGCTGCCAGCCAGAGGCTTCCTTCAGCCTGATGGATGTGAGGAGAAGGGAGGGGAGAGATTACCAACCTCCATCTCAGACCATCCCCATCCAAGATCAGACCCCCCCCCCCGCCTCGCTCCCTTTTCCTGGCACCTATAGCAGACAAGAAACTGGGCATAGGCCACAGCAATCCAGTTGTGGTGACCGCACACCAATCGCACCATCCCAGGTTCCTCCGGTTGTCCTTGGGAAAAAGAGAAGGGCCTATAATAGGATCACAGGGGTCCACAGGCTGTCCTTACCTCCCTGGAAGACAGAAAGCTACCTGATGGTGGAGAAGGGCCTCGCTCATCCAGCATTCGACCCAGCAGCCCTGCATTTCCCAGATTGGGGGGCATTGTGTTGCTTCGACGTACAGGGGCTGGGCGTACCCCACCCTGCTGGGGCCCCACCAGGCTATGTCGGTTTCGGCGCTTCACTGGGAACACTGGGGGAGGGATAGAGTAGTGATAGTTGTAATGACAGTTATGGGTGTATATTGCCTCCTCCCTTCCCTCATGTTCATACAGATGCAGCATTCAATGACACTGAGTCACACAGCAAGTTTGTCCCTTCCCAGTACCTGTAAATCTATTGCAGAGCAGAGTTTAGGGCTACTACAATATTAACATGAAGAGAAGCTTTCAGCCAGGCCACAGTGGTTCATGTTGGTAATCCCAAGTGAGGGCTGGGAAGGCGGCTCAGTGGTAGAGTGCTTGCTTTGCATGCATGAGGCCCTGGGTTCAATTCTTAAGCACCACATGAGCAGAAAAAGCCGCAAGTGGCGCTGTGGCTCAATGGTAGAGCACTAGCCTTGAGCTGAAGAGCTGAGGACAGCGCCCAGGCTGAGTTCAAGCCCAAAAAAAAAAAAGAAAGAAAGAAAAGAAAAAGCCAAGTGAGAGCATAAGTTCAAGCCCAGTGTTAGCACTCATGTGTGCAAGCATGCATGTACACACATTTTTTGGAAACGGGTAAAGCTAAGGAAAATAATAGCATAGGTCCTGGCAAACTTTACAACGGTAGATAATGACTGAGGCTAAGGAAATAAAGCCATACATCAAATCTCCCCATTCTGTCCCTTCTACTAATCAGCAGTCTAGTGGACTACAATTCCCAACAGCCTCTGGGGGCACTTTCTACAAAAGGTGGGCTGGCTGCTTCTCTTGGCGAGTCTAATCAATAATTTCCTCCTTTCTATGTGAAGGACCCTAGTTCTTCCAAAATCTTCCCAAACAGAAAACAATGCTGGACTACAATTTCCATTGTGCTCTAGTGTATGCTTCTGAGCTTTCAAGGAATTAGCTGGCCCACTGCCTCATGGAAAATACTGTTTCCTACTTCCTCTCCAAGCATCAGGCCAAACATCTGATACAGAACTACAATTCCCATCAGGTCTCAGGACTCACAAGGCTGAGGCATTGTGGGAAATATAGATTACAGCCTATCCTTTGGGATTTCTCACCTGGTGGAGGTAGATAACCATTGAAGAGGACATTTCCACAGGAAGATCGATCCAACTCCTCCCTCAGCTGTAGACGACGAACTGCAACGAAAGACTCGAAGTTGGGCTTTAAGGGACGCTGAGGCAGGTCCCTTTCTACCTCCCTATCTCTTTCTCTACAGAATAAGCAAATCCCCTCAGAGGCAGAGCCAAATCCCTATGGTCTTAGTTCTAACCCAACCCTCTTTCAGGAGAGAGAGGGAATAAAGATAGGGAACATTCAGGAAGCATCCCCAGAAGGCGGGTTGCCTATGCAGTGAGCATATTAACTGAGAATCCCGACTTACCTAGTGGAGTGAGCCCATAGAACTGGGCTTCATGAAGGAGACTGGAACCGTGGACACCCCTGGGTAGAGAAATTGACTAGGGGTCAAGGTCTGGAGTATAGGAAAGGGCAAAGAATTCTGAAGGGGAAGTTAAAGAAAACTGTACAGAAAATTTGGGAAGGCAGTTTTTTTTTCCCTTCTTTTCCCTCCCTCCTCCTTTTCTTCCCCTTCCTCCTTCCTTCCTCCCTCTCTCTCTCTTTTTCTTTCTTTCTTTTTATTTGCCAGTACTAGGGCTTAAACACAGGGCCTAGTGCAGTCCCAGAGCTTTTTCACTCAAGGCTGGCACTCTACCACTTGAGCCATAGCAATACTTCTCATGACTTTTTGGAGATATGAGTTTCCTAGACTTTTCCTGCCTGGGTTGGTTTTGAACTGTTCTCCTCAGACCTCAGCCTCCTGAGTAGCTGAAACTACAGCTATGAGCCATTCTCCGTAGCCAAAGCACTCATTTCTACTAGAATCAAGATTCTAAAGGACAATGACACCAGTGGTGAAAATGTGTGGGGAAACTCTTAGGGCAGGAACTTTTAACATCATCGCGGTTCTAAGTATGCCTACTGGAGTGGAGCTTTATTGGTTATCTTAAGAGATTTCTAAGGGTTTGAAGATGGTGGTGTTTCCTCCCTCCTTTTCATCCATACTAACCTGGGGTCCAATTCTTTGGTGCGTAGGAAGTTGAGGATGGGGGCAAAGACGGTGGGGTCCCTGTCGATGAAGATCTGAGGGAGGAAGAGAGGGAGGGATGGAAAGATGGGTTGGGGGGGTTGAAAAGGATGGACAGGACAAAGAGCGGGACTGAGTGGGATGCTTCCCCTCCTACGGGCCGGGCCGCCCCATTTCAACCATGGCTTGACTACTCACAGCCCCAGTCTCATCTTTCAGAGTCGAGATGCGTCCGCTCAGAAGACTACAGGAAGGAGACACGGCAGGTAATCACACACCAGAGATGGGAGATGGGAAAATGGTGCAGATTAGGTTTCCTCCCCTCCCACCCCGCCCTCTTTTCCCACCCCTACCTCGCCCCAAACTTCCTTCCCCCGATCACCTGGAAAAGAAGGAGTCTGGGATCCAGGTGAGCGTTTGGCGGGAGGTACTGAATCTAAACCGGGAAAGCAAGAGATGAAGAATGGGGAGGAGGGTGAAACACGACGCCCTCTGCCCCCCCCCCCGCCGGACGCCGCGAGTTCGCGGCCCACCCCGGGAGGCTCCGGGCCTCCCCGCACGGGGGCGGGGCGACCTTTGATTGACAGGGATGAAGTTACGACTCCCATCTGGCTCCCCGGCTCCGAGGATGGGCGGGGGAGGGGGTGTCTAAGGAATCTCCCACCATCACCTCTTGCCTCCTACGTTCAGATGAATCACTTCCCCGGGAGGGCCGCGACCCAGGACCCCCTCGGCCGCCGTTTCAGCCGCCGCCATGGCCCCTGGGGGTGAGCCGGCCAGCTTGCACTCACTTCCGGGTGTACACTCAAATCCCGCCCCTGATGATTGCTCATTGGCTAGGAGACTCCCGGGACAGCTGGTGATTGGACAGAGTGCTCGCAGGTCGCAACTAGTTCTCCGCCTCCTTAAAGGGATCCGCCTTTCCTGCCCTGGACGGAGCGGACGGGCGCCTTGGCTTCTTTGGGGAAGTTTGGTTTTTTTTTTTCCATCGCTTCATGGTTTGCGGTTTAGGTGTGACTTTAGTGGTTCATCAAAGCGTACGGTTGAGTGCCAGTGGCTCACGACTGGAATTGTAGCTACTCAGGAGGCCGAGAACTAAGAATCTGGGTTCATAGCCAGCCCTGGCAGGTCTATGAGACTCTTATCTCCAATTCAGCATCAAAAAGCCAGAAGTGAAGGTATGGTTTAAGTGGTAGAGTGCTCAGCCTTGAAGGAAAAAGCTAAGGGACAGTGCCCAGGCCCTGAGTCCAGCTCCCAGTAGCAGTACAGAGGAGCATGTATTTAGACCAAGAAATCAACCCACACGGAGGGGTACATAAAGATGGTCCCTGCACCCCGCCACCCCAGCCCACTCTTCAAGCCTCCTGCTTGAGCCGGTAACACGCGAACAAACCAGTGCAGACCGTCAAAGCCAAAGGGTTTATTATAGGTACATACAGTGTGCGCCAGCCACACTGCCCCACACCCACACCCCGGGGCTCCAGCGGCTCCTCCAGGCGGCCACGGGGGGGGGACTGCCACAACCCGATACCCTGCCAGACTCCCCAGAGAGGTGCTCCAGCCAGAAGCATGCAGGGGGGGAGGGCTCCCCCTCTCCCCTCCCTTCCTGTGACATTTACAGTTGGGGGGGGAGGAGAGAGGAAGACAGGTGTTTGTTTTTCTTGAGCTTTGACGCCCCCTCCCATTTAAAAGCCTTGGCGCAGATGCGGGGCAGGGGTGGAGGTGGGGGAGTGGGGAAGGATAGAGGTGGGGGTCGACGTTTTGCAAAAATAAACTAAGTCAGGAATTAACCGCATGGCTCTGAGGTGGCAGAGTGCAGGGACCTGGGCCCCTTAGCTCCCCCCTCCCAGACAGAAGTCAAGGCAGCATTGGAAGTGAGGTAAAGGCAAGGAGGGGCTGTCCCCTCCCCACCCCTAGCACCCTGGATGGTCCAGGGGACCTCACCAGCGCCCCCCGTGCCCATCCTTAGGGCGGAGAGGAGTCCAGGAATGATTGCCCCCACCACTTCAGTTTCTTTTGAGGGGGGGGGCAGGATCTGGGGACTGGAGTAGGGGAGGGGCTTGACTTAACTGGCCTCCTGCCTGCCACCCCCCAAGCTCAGTTATTGCATAAAAATAATGGATCCCCAGCACCTGGGGTGGGGGGATGGGGCTGGCGAGCGGGAAGGGGCCCAAGATATGGCTATAGGGGCAGCAATTCCCCCACACATACACCCACCCATTTCTTGGGGTGTGGGAGAAGTCCCCTCCTTTCCAGTGCCCGTCAGGGTGCCTCCGCGGCCATTGCGGAAGGGAAAGTGTCTTTGTGCCCACAGTGCAAGAGAGGAGGGCCAGGGAGATTTGTCAGAACCTGGGGGCAGGTGCTGGGGATCACTTCCGGCGCCCACTGGCCCTGCGCTCCCCAGCTTCTCGCTTGGGATTGCCCTCATCTGTAGACGATGTGGTAGGGAGTGTCTGGCCCCAACGGGCAATCTCTGCATGTTCGGCCACCGAAGCCGCCACAGCCTCCAGCCAACCGTTCATCTCCTCCTGGAGGAAGAAGCAGGACACAGGGTCCATATTTGGAAGACAGGAGCTGAATGATCTAGATCAGAATGCCCTCATTCCCCCCTCTATTACACTGGGGTAATCATGTTAATAAAGATGAGGACACAAGCACTTACGCAGCAATCTATAATGTACCATTGTCTGTCCAGGGCACTTTTGTGAATTCTTTCACTTACACATATCTAGGATTATATGCAACCTCTGCTAGAGATAAATCATCAAAACAAGAGAAAATATCCTGGCAGATACAGTTCAGTGATATTTTCCAGACTCTGAGTAAAGTACTTTGTATGTATCAACTAATTTAATTCTCACAAATACACTATCACAACAAATTATTTTACAGATAAGGAAAATGAGGGCTGGCAGAATAAGGCCTACTTCACAGTTGTGTGTGTGTGTGTGCGCGCGCACACACACACACACGCGTGCTGGCAATGTAGCTTAAATTTAGGAACTTTGCACTGTCTCTTAGCTTTTTCACTCAAAGCTGGTGCTCTACCACTTGAGCCTCACTCCCACTTCCCGTATTTTTTTTGCGGGTTAATTGGAACTAAGAGTCTCATGGGCTATTCTTGCCCAGGCTGGCATTGAACCTGGAGCCTCAGATCTTATCCTGAGATTACAGGTGTGAGCCATGGGTGCCCAGACACTGGATCACCCCTTTTGGAAATTAGTCTCTCCTCCTATCTTTCCAATATCACCTAAGTGCCCAAGGTAAGGAAGTTGGACTTTGGCATCAGGGACTACAGGCAGTCCTCACTGAGCCTCTTCCTACCACTCCTGGCTTAGGGGCCTTCCCTGGGTTCCCACTACCTTGTCATTATAGCCTTGATAACTCTAGCCTGTGTACATCCCTGCTATAGCCCTATCACTCTGGATCAGGACCCAGTCACCCAACCAGCCATATCACTTTGAGGGCTACACAGAGGGTCATCTCACCTCATCTTTAGCCTGAAGCAAATACTCGCTGCCATCTTGGGTCCTGGAGGAGGAGACATAGGACTTGAAAGATCTCAAGTGGCCCAGTTTCCCTCTTCCTCCCTTCCAAATGTCCTTCAGGGGAGCCCAGGGCCTGCTGGGTAAAGGAAGCTGAGCCTTTTGGATCCCTCCCACCTGCCATGGATGGGGTCGGGGGATGGGGGCCTGCTCACTGGAGCTTGAAGACGTGTTTCTTTTTCTTGTAGTCATTAGCCACCTCGCTGGTGGCCTTGTGCAGGCTGAGCAGTGGCTCCCCACCATGCGTGCCCCCTGAGGCTGGGCCTTTGGCATCCTTGTAAAAGCCTAGCTCCCCCTTGCTGAGCACACAGTAGAGGCTCACCCACGACCTGGGTAGATGACATAAGAGTTTTAGGCAAAGCTACAACACTGTGGCTTGGCAGTAGACCTTCCGACCAATGGGCCTTTGTCCAAGCTAGTTAGCACATTTACCCAGGACTCTCTTTCCTGTGGCTGGCTGTTCCTGCACTGTGGGAATCATCTAAGGCTCCCAATATCAAGCCTATTGCCCAGTGCAGTGCCTCCAGGGCTTGTCTTTCTTTAGCCTACTCCCACAATAGTCAATTACTGTCTCCTCCAGGTTCTGTGCATCACCATCCCTTACTCAAGGCTAGCACTCCACCACCGGGAGCCACCCTTTCACTTCTGGCTTTTCGCTGATTAACTGAAGGTAAGAATTTCTCAGACTTTTCTGCCTGGGCTGGCGCTAACTCTTGATCCTCGGCGAGGATCTCAGCCTCCTGAGAGACTGAGACAGGCATGTCTCCTCAAGACTCCCAGATGGTGTATGACATGTTGAGCCTCTACCTCAGATGTCACTAGAACCCTCGTGACAAGGCTCCACCTCTGGCTTGCTCCTTAACCATAGTCTCTGGCTTTGAACCGCGATCCTCACATCTCAGCCTCCCGAGCAGCTAGGATGACAGGCGTGAGCCACCAGTGCCCAGCTTCAGGACATTTTTGTCAAGATCCAGGACATTTTTGTCAAGGTCCCAACCCATCTCCGTCCACTCAGCCACCAACTAGACCCTCTTCCATTCATAGCTTACGCTACCTAGAAGTTGAGTCCCGCCTCTCCCATGCTTTGCTATTCACTGATTGGACATTGTGAGCCTGGATGCTCCGCCTTCGAAAGCCCGCCCACATGCTCACCGATTGGATGACTTGCGGTTGGCGTCCAGCTCGCGCTTGCGCAACAGGAAGCCCTCGTGCTGCACCGTGTGAGTGGGCGGGGGCGGAGGCGCGGGGGCGGAGCCTCCCTGGGCCGGGGCGGAGCGTGAGCGCCTGCTTCCCCCGCCCTCGCCACCCTCTCTGGGCCTCGGCCGCCGTCGGGGCTTGGGCCGGTCCCGAGCCCGCGGCCGATCCGGCCGAGGTGTCCGTTCGGGCGGCTCAAGCCCATTAGGCAGGCGGCCGGGGGGAAGCTCGCGAGGCTGGGGCAGCGATGGCTGTGTGAATGAAGGGAAGGGCATGGAGGTTATCTGTCTGGAGGCGCCCTGGGTCTGGGTCCCATCCTCTGCAGGGCTCATCCTCTGCTTTGGAGGCTAGCATGGAAGGAACTTGGGACTGATTGGTTAACTCTTTGGGGGCTCCTTTAGATCTTGGGTGTGAGTCTGCCAGGAATCCTGCCCAAATGTGGGAAGAAAAGGGGGTTGGACCTATAGGTCGGGTGTAAAGGGAAATCTAGGGGTGTCTTCTCTTTTTTGTGGCTGTCCATGAGGAAATTTGGGTCCCCACAAGGCTGAAGAAATAGGGAATCCAGGACATGAGCCTAATTATGTGTGTAGGGTGAAGGGTAAGGATTGGGGAGGGGATGATCTCTTAGGTTAGAGGTTCTACCTTTGTGTGTGTGTGTGTGTGTGTGTGTGCGCGCGCGCGCGTGTGTGTGTGTGTGTTGCAAGTCCTAGGGCTTGAACTCAGGACCTGGCACTGGTCACTGAGCTTCTTTTGCTCAAGGCTAGCACTCTACCACTTGAGCCACAGCGCCACTTCTGGCTTTTTCTGTGTATGTGATACTGAGGAATGGAACCCAGGGCTTCATGCATGTTAGGCAAGCACTCTACCACTAAGCCACATTCCCAGCCAGAGATTCCACCTTTCTAAGAAGAATTTTTCTTTTGTCATTTGTGGGGCTTGAACTCAGGCGTAGACACTGTCACTGAGTTTTTTTCACTTGAGGCTAATGCTCTACCACTTTTGAGCCATAGCGCCACTTCTGGTTTTCTGGTGGTGAATTGAGATGAGTCTCACAGACTTTCCTGCCTGGGCTGGCTTTGAATGGCGATCCTCAGATCTCAACTTCCTGAGTAGCTAGGATTACAGATGTGAGCCATCAACACCAGGCCTAAGGGAGAATTTTTCAGATTGTAGGGCGCATCTGGGTGTCCTAAGAGTTCCATGTTGAAGCTGGGTGCTGCCACACCTGTAATCGTAGCAACTCAGAAAGATGAAATCTGAGGATCACAGTTTGAAGCCAGCCTAAGCAGGAAAGTCCGTGAGACTGTTATCTCCAATAAACTGCTCAGAAAAAGCTGAAAGTGGCGCTGTGGATCGTGGTAGAGCACAAAGAGGCTCAGGGTCGGTGTTCAGTCCCTGAGTTCAAGCCCCAAGACAGGCCAAAAAATAAAAAAAAGAGTTCCACATTGGCTATGCAGGTGCAGGTACGGAGATGGACACTGATCACTGTTTCTGAGATCCTTGGTCCTGCTCTAAGGAGAGGGGTCTTCATAGTCCCTCACAGCCAGCCATTGGTCAACTTACCACTGCAGCTGGGAGCCCCGGGCCTGCCTCTTTCTCCTGCAGCTGTTCCACAATGTCAGCCAGGGTGGCCTTCCTGAGGAAGGAGGGACAAAAAGATTCAATGGAGCAGGAGTGCCTTTTATTAGAGCCTGGCATGCCTGACTAGAGAGAGGGGCTTCTGTCTGTTAGCCTGAAACACCAGTCCCTGTCTACTCTTCACTGTCTCCACAGATGTGTGAAAATACCAATGCCCAATACAAAGCCTCTCTTCCTTTTAAGGTTTGACAGTACTGAGGTTAAAACTCAGAGGAGCCATGGCACCAGTATCTCTTGTAGATTGTGTGTGTGTGTGTGTGTGTGCATGCGTGCGTGCGTGCGCGCACACGCACGCCAGTACTTAAGGCTGTGAAAATTCATAGTCTGGGTATAGTCCCTTAGCTTTTTTGCTCAATGTTGGCGTTCTACCATTTGAACCATCTCTCCGCTGCCTGCTTTTGGCTGAGAAGTTAGAGATTTTAAAAATCCGACAGGTGGCCGGTCGTGGCTCATGCCCGGCATCCTAGCTACTCAGGAGGCTGAGATCTGAGGATCATCGTTCAAAGCTAGCCTGGGCAGGAAGGTCTGTGAGACTCCTATCTCCAATAAACCACCAGAAAGCTGGAAGTGGGGCTGTGGCTCACATGGGAGAGCACTTGCCTTGAGCTGAAGAGCTGAGGGACGGCACCCAGGCCCAGAGTTCAAGCCCCATGACCGACAAGAAAAAAAAAAATCTCACAGGCTTTCCTGCCCAGGCTGGCTTTGAACGATGATCCTCAGATCTCAGCCTCCTGAGTAGCTAGGAGTCTAGGAGTGAGCCACCGGTGCCCAGCTCCCCCTTTGAATTTTTTTTTTTTTTTTTTTGGGTCCGGTCATGGGTCCTGAACTCTGGGCCTGGCGCTATCCCTCAGCTCTTCAGCTCAAGGCTGGCGCTCTACCACTTGAGCCACAGCGCCACTTCCGGCTTTTTTTCTTTTTGCATATGTGGTGCTGAGGAATCAAACCCAGGGCCTCATGCATGCAAGGCAAGCGCTCTACCACTGAGCCACCTTCCCAGCCGCCCCCTTTGAATTTTAACCAGTCTCAAGATTAAAAAAAAAAAAAAGCAAGTTGCCATCTCCAAGTGTTCGAACCCACTGTCACCTTTCTATACGTTCCCCCCCTGAGTTCCCTTCCACTGGGATCCCCATCCCAGCCCTATCATTGATTGGTGACAAGTCTGTCATCCCCCAGGGACTTCTCCCCCAGATTCTGAGCTTCCTGGAGGCAGAGCTAGGATAGATATGGTCTCTGCTCTTCCTCTAATCAATCAAGCAGGCTGCCCATGCGAGACCATAGGCCCATCCACCTCTGGCGGGACCCAGGATGCCACCTTGCCCCTTGGGGTTCCTTACTGACTCTTGGGGGCCTTTAGGGTTCTGGGAGGCCTGGCTTCCCCGCACCCTTCCCGATCGCTGGGAGGCCTCACCCCTTGACCAGTTCTCCTCTGGTGGGTGTCTCCTGTTCGCTGGATTCCTGCCTCTCCAGCCGCCGCTCCCGCCGCTCTCTCCGCCTCTCCATTTGCTCGTAGCGGCCCAGCGTCAGGCTGTGCGCCGCCTCGTGCTCCACAGACTCCTGCCGCTCCGACCGCCGCCTCCGGGAAGTCTCCTCGGGTTGATCGGCCGACTCTTGGCGTTCAGGCCGCCGCCTCCGGGGCAGCTCCTCGGGGGCGCGATCTGCAGCTTCCTGGCGCTCGGGCCGAGGCCGGACCTGCTCCACCACCGTGATGGGGGACACTGGCGCGTCCACCGTGTCCGAGGGCGCGGCCGGCGGGGACACGGGCTCCGCCCTGGCCGGGGCCTCGGGCAGCCGGTCGATGCGCGGCTGCAGGCGCTCGGGCTTGAGCTCTTGGCGCACGTACCCCACCCGGGTCCGCACCTCGGCCGACAGCGTGTCCGAGGCCCTTCGGGCCAGGGGCTCCAAGCCTCTGTCGTAGCCCCCTGGTCGCAGCAGAGGGGCTGCTTTGGCTGCCAGTTCCGTGGGATCCCCAAAGAACTTGCGCCCCAGCAGAGGGGTGGGTGGTTGCTTGCTCTGTTCGGCCTTCAGTTTCTCGATCTGGAGTCAAGAAGGGGTGGGGGTAGAGGGGTCAGTTGGAGGGGCGGTTCTGCCTGGACATTCAGCTTTATGGGTGCTTTGTAGGAGCAAGGATTCCAGGCCCTGCGTTATTATTCTCTACCAGTTGCTTAATGAATGCCTAGTCTTCAGGTAAAGGAAGGCCAAATCTTTATTTTTAATGGCACTGGGGTTTGAACTCGGGGCCTTGAACTGGTCAGGGCAGGTTCTTGAGCTCAGTCCTTTTTTGCGTTAGTGATTTTTCAGACAGGGTATTACAGGCTTTGGTTTTGTTTTGTTTTTTGGTCTCCCCACCCATTTCCTGTTATTTGTTGATAGGGGTCTCACTAGCTTTTTGTTTGGGCTGGCCTGGTAATTGAGCTCTGGAAATTGAGCTCACTCAAGAGCCTCCAGAGCTCAATTTCCAGAGTAGCTGTGATTATTTTACAGGTGCTTTTCTGACCTCCCTCTACACTAATTCCTTAATATCCCAACTCAGACTTCGTTTAATATCCCAACTAATTATTATTATTATTTGCCAATCCTGGGGCTTGAACTCAGGGCCTGGTCACTGTCCCAGGGCTTTGTTTCAAAGCTCAAGGCTAGCGCTCTACCACTGGAGCCACAGCACCACCTCCAGCTTTTTTTGTGTATGTGGTACTGAGGAATTGAACCCAGGGCTTCATGCATGCTAGGCAAGCACTCTACCACTAAGCCACATTCCCAGCCCCCAGACTGTAAGTTATAAATGGTCTCTTCACCTCATTCTTCCAACCAGATCAAGTGCTGTTCGATTCTCCTGGCTCTCTGGGCCTCTGCCATCCAGGTTCCCTGTATCCTGTACCCTCTGGCTCTTCCTAGTGCCAGTCTGTTTCTGCCCCCTTCACACCTGCTGATTGCCCAGTAAGCATCTGTCTCCACTCTCAACACAGGACTGAGGCCCCCAAGTCCAGGTGGGAAGCAGAGTCTGGGGTGCTGACCGTGGTCAGGCGCCGTAGAGAGCTGAATCTCTCTTCCCACGCTGCGGCTGCTTTGCGGAAGGCTTCATGTCGCCGGATGAGCTGCTCCACCTCATCCACGCTGCTGCCCAGCTCCCGGCTCTGCAGGAGGGGCTCCTGAGCTGTCAGCCAGGCATCAGCCACCACCGCCTCCTGGGCAAACTGATGCACTTCCAGCACTGGGGGCAGGCATGCAGGGAAAGGTGTTGGGGGGGACATCTAATCCCTCTTTTGCTTCACCCATCCCTGGCCCAGACACGCTGGCTGTACAGCAGAGTCAACCTAGAGCTATCTCCTCTATTTTTTTTTTTTTTTTGTTGGTCGTGGGGCTTGAACTCTGGGCCTGGGCGCTGTCCCTCAGCCCTTCAGTTCAAGGCTAGCACTCTAGCACTCTACCACTTGAGCCATAGCACCACTAATGGTTTACTGAGTGGTTTATTGGAGATAAGAGTCTCACAGAGTTTCCTGCTCAAGCTGGCTTTGAACCACAATCCTCAGATCTAGCCTCCTGAGTAGCTAGGATTACAGGTGTGAGCCACTGGTGCCTGGCTCTTGAACCCAGTCCTAGGTCTTGAACCCAGGGCCTGGGCACTGTCCCTGAGCTTTTGTGCTCAAGGCTAGCACTCTACTAATTGAGCCACAGCTCCACTTCTGGTTGCTGTTGTTTTTTGGTTAGTCATGGGCCTGGGTGCTGTCCCTAAGCCCTTTTAGTGGTCTACAACTTTAAGCCACAGAGCCACTACCATTTTTCTGGTGGTTAACTGACATAAGGATGCCGGGCACCGGTAGCTTACACCTGTGATCCTAGGCTACTCAGGAGGCTGAGCTCTGAGGATCGTGATTCAAAGCCAGCCCGGGCAGGAAAGTCCATGAGACTCTTATCTCCAATAAACCACCAGAAAACCAGAAGTGGCGCTGTAGCTCAAGTGGTAGAATGCTAGCCTTGAGCTGAAGAGCTGAAGGACAGAGCTCAGGCCCAGAGTTCAAGGCCCACAACCAACAAAAATAAAAAAATAAATAGTCTCATGGAGTTTCCTACCCAGGCTTTGAAAGGCAATCCTCAGATCTCAGTCTCCTGAGCAGCTAGGATGACAGGCGTGAGCCACCAGTGCCTGCATCCAGCCTTCCCCCCCCCACCCTCTTTTTGACTAGTTTATTGAAAGTAGACTTTGCTACTTGGTCTGGCTTTGAACCATGATCCTCAGATCTCAGCCACCTGTTCCAGGCTCTCTCCTGTAGTTCAATACCAACCAGATTCAATAGTAAGGGAGCCCTCATATTCACTCTCCCAGGCCCTTAGATTTGTTTCTTGGGACCCATGGGTTGGATGCAATATGTCCGTGTCATCCCTGGAACCTTGGTCAGCCATGAAGTCCCTGTGTCCTTGAACCACACGTGTCCAGGTCTCCACTCACTCTGCTGAAGCCACTCCCAATGGCGGTCCCACTTGTCCGACACTTCTTCCTTCCTACTTCCCAGCTTGTCTAGCTGAGCCTGGATCTGAGATCAATGATTGGGTGGAAGAACATCAGGGGTAACTCTTGGGCCAATGAGAGGGGCAGAGGAGAACCCTCCACTCCCACCCCTTCCTACCTCATCAGCCATGGGACTCTTGTTGAGCAGGAGAGAGCGCCCCAGCTCCTGGCAGGCAGTCATCTCAGGCACCCGTGCTTCCAGCTCCGTCTTCAGGCCCTGGTGGTAGTTCATAAGCACCTCCACAGAAGACACATCTCTGCAGTGGATGGTGGGCGGGGACCTGAGCCACAGGCAGCTGCCCTGCCTCTGCCTGTTCCCCATAGGCAGGTGCTAATGAGCCCAAATCCCTGAAATGGATTCTTCTCAGCTTCTCAGACCTCCTCTTATGACCAAGTTGGGTCTGAAGCATCTTCACTAATTCAATGAGAGAGGTGTGTGTGTGTGTGTGCTTGCGTAAGACTCACACACTTCTTTATGTTGTTTTGTTTTTTCATTCAAAGTTGGTGTTCGGCCACTTGAACCACAGCTCCACTTCTGGCTTTTTTTGTGATTAATTGTAAGGAAGAATCTCACACACTTTGCCTGGGCTGGTTTTGAATCTCAGTCCTTAGATCTCAGCTAGGATATAGGTATAATACCAGCATCTGTGGCGGGGGGGGGGGGGGGGCAATGTAGCCATGGAGATGGGAGGGCAGGGATGGTAAGGGAAAAACAAAGGAGGAGGCAACAATGCTTGATAAGAAATATACTCATTAACTTGCTCATGTAATTGTTTTTTTGGGGGGTACAGTCGTGGGGCCTGAACTCTGGGCCTGGGCGCTGTCCCTCAGCTCTTCAGCACAAGGCTAGCGCTCTACCACTTGAGCCACAGCACCACTTCTGGCTTTTTTTTTGCTTATATGGTGCTGAGGAATCGAACCCAGGGTCTCAGGCATGCAAGGCAAGCTCTCTACCTCTGAGCCACCTTCCCAGCCCCTTGCTCATGTAATTGTAACCTCTCTGTACAGTATTTTCACAAAAACTTAATAAAAAAATAACACACAGAGGGGTTACAATTACATGAGCAAGGTAATGAGTACATTTCCTATCAAGCATTGTTACCTCCTCCTTTGTTTTTCCCCTACCATCCGTAAGTTCTCTGTATAACTATATAATGCTAATAAAATATAAAAAGGTGTAAGAAAAAAATACCAGCACCTGGCTTTATTTTTCTTCATTGCAATGTTTCACTCTATGAACTAATATTTGGGGGAGAGTGGTTTAGTCTTCCCTCTCAGAATGTAAGCAGCCTTGGGGCAAGAGCTCAGCCTGTTCACCATCCAGACCCCAACAAGCATTCAGTAAATATTTTCTAGCAGCTCAGAGTAGCACATGAGCCTGGCATATGAAAGGCCCAACATCAAATCTATAAATCTTCGCTGTTGGATAATCCTAGCTACTCACAAGGCTGAAATCTGAGGATTGAGGTTTGAGGCCAGCCTAGACAGGAAAGTCCCTGAGGCACCCATCACTTAACCAGCAATAGCCAGAGTGGTTGTTGCTCAAGGGGTAGAGCGCCAGCCTTGAGTGAAAAAGCTAAGAAACAGCACGCCCAGGCCCTGAGGCCTGGCACAGGATTGGCACAAAAATATAAAAAATCTGGGCTGGAAACGTGGCTAAGTGGTAGAGTGGGGTCTGATTCTTCAGTGCCATATAAACAGAAAAAGCAAGAAGTGGCATTGTGGCTCAAGTGATAGGCCACTTGCCTTGAGCAAAAGAAGCTCAGAAACAGTGCCCGGGCCCTGAGTTCAAGCCCCAGGACCGGCAAATAAATAAATATATACATAAATACATAAAATAAAAACAATCTTTGCTGAGTAAAGAAGGCTCAAGGCCCATAATCACAAGAACAATGCCACGTGACCTTGCCCTTCAGGTCCTTATCTTCTAGTGCACACTCCTGGACTTGGCCTCAGCCTTCCTGGCAGACAGGACAGGCCAATAGTTAGAAGCATGTGGTTCTTAGGTCTCCTGGGTAGCCATCTGACCCAATGCTAGGCCTGACAGGAATCTTGACAAGTCTGGCACACACAGGTTGTGCCCGGATATCAGCTCTTTGCCAGGAAGGTGACTGGACATAGGCTGGGGATGGCTGGGGAAGGATGCTAGAAGCATCTAGGAAGCCCCAAGTGGGATGAAGGGCAACCTGGGTTTGTCAGCCGCTCCGATCTGGCTGGCGATGCCGTCCATCCAAGACAGCAGGTCCCGGGCCTGGCTGTGGAAGCGCAGGGCGTCGGCCGTGGAGCTCACGTGCAGCCGGGCATCCTCGCAGGCAGCCAGCAGCTCCTTCCAGCCCTGCAGCACCTCCTGCTCCCGGCTGGCGATGGCCTCTGCGTGCTCGCCCGCATACACGGTGCGCAGCTGGGCTGCCCCCTCCTGCAGCTGCCGCACCTGAGGGGCATGCCAGGTCGGGGGGCCAGCCCTCCACCTGCCACAGGCTCCGCTCTCTCTCCGCCCCTGTGGCACAGGCCCCGCCCTCAATCCCCTCCCCTGAGGCCCAGGCTCCGCCCCATACCTCCCCTGTGGTCCAAAGCCATGCCCTTACTCCTCTCCTCCCGTTGTCCAGGCCACGCCCCCTTGTGGCACAGGTCACGCCCCTCCCCCCGTGGCTAAGGCCCCTCCACCAATCCGTATGAGTCAGGCCATGCCCCACCCCTTCCCTGCAGTCCAGGCCCCGCCCCCGCCCCGCCCCGCGGCCCAGGCTCCACCCTCAGTCCCCGCCCCCATGGCCCAGGTGTCGCCCCTTCCTCCTCCCCTCTGGCTCAGGCCCACTTCGCTTGGCCCTGCTGTCCAGGCCCCTTCCTTCCACTTGGCACCTTTGGCGCCCACCTGAGACACGAGGAGCTGCAAGTCGTGCTCGAAGGCTCGCAGGGTCCTCTGCATGGAGCTGGCACTGGGTCTCGGCTCCGGCGGAGCGGTCAGGCGGGGCAGCCGCCTCCGCTTCTCCTCGATCTGTCCTTGAAGCTCTCTGGCATCGCTGAAGAACTTGTGTAGCTCCCGGGAGGCAGCCAACAGCTGGGCACGCGTGCCCATGAGCTCCAGCAGCTCGGCCCAGGCCTCGTTCAGCCCATCTTTCCACTCGGCCATGGTGGCTGCTGCCGTATGCCCGCACTCGATCAGCTCATCCACCATCTGGTTCACGGCTGCCAGCCGCTCCCTGCCGGCTGTGCCTGTCTCACTGGCGAACTCTGAGAATTTCTCCTGCAGCACCTGCCACAAGGCCATGGTGTGGGTGTGTAGGGGGGGGTGCACAGCATCAAGGTGGGCAAAAGTTCTGCACCCCTGGCCCTTCCAACCTGCTTCCTTATGTCAGATACAGTCATAACAATAAACCAGTAAAATAGAAATAACATCTAACACTTCTTAAACAATCTGTAGCAATAATAGAATCATATAATAATAGAGTATTAATAATTAACGCTGTGCTGCGTATTGAGTATGTGCTATGCACAGTTGTACTTTGTCAGATGCTGGGAATTCAGCATAGGATCTTGCACATGCCAGGCAAGTGTTTACCACTGAGCTACAGCCTTTTACAATGTGTTGTGGGGATGGGAATGTGGCTTAGTGGTAGAGTGCTTGCCTTGCAAACATGAGGCCCTGGGTTCAATTCCTTAGTACCATAGCAACAGTGCCACATAAACAGAAAAAGCTGGAAGTGGTGCTGTGGCTCAAGTGTGGAGTGCTAACCTTGAGCAAAAGAAGCTCAGGGACAGTGCACAGGTCCTGAGCTCAAGCCCCAGGACTGGCAAATAAATTAAATAATAAATAAATAAATAAAAATGTGTTATACCAGGACTAGGACTTGAACTCAGGGCTAGGGTGCTGTGCCTGAGCTTTTCTTGCTCAAGGCTAGCATCTACTACTTGAACCACAGCTCCACTTCCACCTTTTTGCTGGTTAACTGGAGATAAAAGTCTCATGGAAGCCGGGCACGGGTGGCTCAAGCCTGTAATCCTAGCTACTCAGGAGGCTGAGATCTGAGGATCGAGGTTCAAAGCCAGCCCGGGCAGGAGAGACCGTGAGACTCCTATCTCCAATAAACCACCAGAAAACCGGAAGTGGCGCTGTAGCTCAAGTGGTAGAGTGCTCGCCTTGAGCTGAAGAGCTGAGGGACAGCGCCCAAGCCCAGAGTTCAAGCCCCACGACCGACAAAAAAAAAAAGTCTCATGGATTTTTCCTGCCCTCACTGGCTTTGAACTGTGATCCTCAGATCTCAGCCTCCTGAATAGTTGGAATAACAGGTGTGAGCCACCAGTGCCCAGTCTCACATATAGCTTTAAGTGCTTTGCATTGTGTTAATTTGTCTCATAACAGAGCCAGGAGCGCTTCTGCTATCCCTATGATATTGAATGGGGAAATTGAGACCCAGAGAACCTTACTAGCATACTCAGTAACTGCTCCTGATGCATACCCATGCAATTCCCCATGATGCTCACCGAGACATGCTCGAAGTCCTGGCCAAGCTCAGGTGAGCCAGCTACTACCTCCTTCTCTGCAATCCAATGCTCCAGCTCATCCACCTGACGGCTGAGCTGGTACAGCCAGTATTGCTGCTCCAGGCTCACCCTGCGCTCCTCGCCCAGCTCCTTGAGTGACACGTACAGACGATCCACCTGAGACTGACGCCGGCTTATCTGCTCACTGATGAGGGAAAGGAGGTGCAGGAAAAGAGCCCCTTGAGGCTTCCCACCCTGGAATCTCCTCACAGCAAGGCTGTTCCCTGCATTGCCAGGCAAGGGTCATGTCCCCCACTGTCTTCTGCAAGTCTCAGATTCAGCCCATTGCACTGGATCTCAGCACTCAAGGAAAGTGTTTACATTCAAGGTTTGATGAGTTTGCCCCCAATCCAGACTCACCCAGTTTCTTTTACACCTGGCCCCTTCTCTGTCCAGGGACCAGGGAACTCAATCACCTTACAAACTATCTACCACTAAGCTATGCTGTTAGCCCTTCCTGATCAATTTCTATTTGTTTTTGCTGTGAGGTTGCTCACTTTTTTTGTGTGTGTGTGTGGCCATTCCTGGGACTTGAACTCAGGGCCTGGGCACCATCCCTGAGCTTCTTTTGCTCAAGACTAGCATTCTACCACTTGAGCCATGCTTTTTCTGTTTATGTGGTACTGAGAAATCGAACCCAGGGTTTCATGCATGATGGGCAAGCACTCTACCACTAAGACACATTCCCAGCCCCTTGCTCACTCTTTGGGTCTGACCTTTCTTTCTTTCTTTCTATTACAGTACTAGGGAATTGAACTCTGGACCTTAAGCTTGCTTGGCACTCTACCACTTAAGTAAGTCACAATCATTTAATTCCTTTTGCAGTGGTCATCAACCCTTCCTTCTTTCCTTCCTTCCTCCTCCCCTCCCTTCCTCCCTCCTCCCCTCTCTCTTTCTTTTTGTGTCAGCCCTGGGGCTTGAACTCAAGGCCTGGTCAGTGTCCCTTAGCTGCTTTTTCGCTTCAAGACTAGTGCTCTACCACTTAAAACTATACCTTCACTTACAGATTTGCTAGATAATTAGAAATGAGTTTCACAGACTTTCCTCCCCTAGCTGACTTTGAACTGCGACCCTCAGATCTCACTCTCCTGTGCAGTCAGGATTACAACTATGAGCCACAAGTGCCCAGTTCCCAATGTCTATCAAGTATGCCCCCTAACAGATCCCACCCCAGGGCCAGGTTTCCCAGAGGCTCAGTGAAGTAACACCACCCAACCAAATCAGGGGGCCTCAAGCCTTGGCCTCCATACCCATCTCCACACCCCAGGTTTTTCTGTCCTCTCAACACAGCCTGTCCTGGCCATGGCTTCCCTAATTCACTCCTTGATATCCAACGACCCTCCTCCCAGTTGTTCCTGGTCCCACGGTGGCAACAATTCTGTATCCAGCCATTAATCCAAGGGCTCCAGTACACGACCATGAGGACCCATCCCACTCCAACATCCAATCCCAGTCGTGCCCCAACCTCTGACAGCAAAGCCTCGGTTCCTGTTAGTTCCTTTAACAGTGAAGCCTCGGCTCCTATTGACCCCTTTAACAGCAAAGCCTGGTTCCTATTGGTCCCTTTAACAGAGGAGCTTCGGCTCCTATTGGCCCCTTTAACAGCGAAGCCTCAGTTCCTATTGGTCCCTTTAACAGTAAAGCCTCGGTTTCTATTGGCCCTTTCCTGGGAACCGGCCCGCCCCCTCGTTGCCCCGCCCCTCGTTGCCCCGCCCCCTCAGCCGCCCACCTGTCCGGATGCCCCATCTCCAGCAGCGCCCGGCACTGGCGCGATAGCTGCGCGATGCTTTCCTCGTAGTTCTCCACGCCCTGCTCCAGCTGCAGGTGCTTCTTGAGCAGCTGCAGGGTGCTCTGTTCATCCTGGGGGGTGTGGCGAAGGGAGGGAGGGACACAGGGCGCCTGCCATGAGG